TGACGGAATTTTTTATATTTAAAGCTTAGTTGCCTCGACCTTACAGCGTACGGAATGTACCACTGGACGGTGGCATTTATGTTTACGCAGTGTTTTGTTTGAACGACTCTCACTGACCCCCGATTTGGAACTTCACCAGTGATTGTTCTGAAAATGCTCTTGGCCCCCCTGTCAATGGAATCCGAAATTTCCACCAAGAGCTCGGAAACGTATCAGGGAAATGAGTATTTCCCAACGCTCTCTCAGCGCGTGGGGAGAGAAACCTGGGTTTCGGCTTGTCCGTACAAACGCGCGTTGCCACACGTGTGCCCTCCCCCCCCCTGCCCCCCCCCGTTCTCTCTCCACGCAGGCGTAAGGGGTAAGAGGAGGGACGGCCGAGGCGGGCCCCCCGGCAGAGGGGGCCACCCGGGGGCCTCTCGCCGCGGCGGCGGCGGCGGAGCCGGCAAGCAGCAGCGCGTGCGCTCGGAGCTGCGGAACCCCGACCAGATCCTGAAGGCGCGGCGCAAGAAGGAGAAGATGGACTTCCTGCAGAGCGGTGGCCTGAAGAAGTTGAAGGCCAGCCGAAGAGGCCAAGGGGGTGGATTCGGAGGCCATGGTGGGGGGAGAGGGGGCGGCCGTGGGGGCGGCCGTGGGGGCGGCCGTGGGGGAGGCCGTGGGGGCGGCCGTGGGGGAGGCCGTGGGGGCGGCCGTGGGGGAGGCCGTGGGGGGGGGCCGGAGGGGAGGGCCGGGGGGAAAGCGATGAATCCCGACGAATGAAAGGGTGGCACGTGAATTGATGCGGAGTTATAAAAAAATCTTAACTCCGAATGACTGAGTGGACCACGTCTTGTTATTCACAGTACCAACTTCAGCCACAGCTAAAAGCATTGATGAGGAAACTTGCTCCGACCCCTGACCTCCGGAGAGCACCGTCAGAGCACTCGCCGGTTCGGAGGCATGCTGCAGCCCTTAAGCCACACTTCTGTTACCCGTGTCGTGCAGACGGCTTGCAGGACAGGTGGGAAAATTGTGCGACAGCGTTTACATGCAATGCCAGGTGAGGATGGTAACATATCGGCCACAGTGGCGCATCTTGGCCTCGGTAGCTGCGTATTTTGGTTTTGGGAGGCACGCTACCAGTCTACGATGGCTGCCGAGCTAATACTAACAAAGCCAGCATTTGGAACTTGCACAAAGAGGGATTTTTTTGCAGGCTTTGGCAGAGCACCATCTTTTTCCCCACCCACCACCACTGCCCCAACACTGCAAAAGTCTCTGCACGTACACAAGAATAATAATAATTACAGCTTGCACAGCTTAACGCAGGGGTCGGCAACTTGCGACTTCGCAGCCGCGTGCGGCTCTTTCAGGACTGTTGCTTCGTGCCGTTGTTTCTACATCGAGGACCACCGTCTCGTATTCACCACGTGCATTGCGGATCCTGAAATATAGATTTTTTTTTTCTTTTACCGAATTCGGGAAAACAATGTCTTGAGTTATTTTGTTTTCCGACCTCTGGTGTTAGCGCCTTAAATAGGCGTTACGGGAGAAAGAGGTTCAATTGGGGTAGACTGCCCAGGAAATTGACGCAGGTCAGAGGATTTCAGAAGGGCAAAGACTTCGAGCAGGGGAATCTTCCTACTGAGCAACAGTGGGGAAAATAACCCTGTTGGATTTTTTTTTGTTTTGGAGTAAGAGAAGACGTGTTCGTGTTTCTGTGCTAATGACGCGAGGCTTGGGAGAGCTCTGAAGGGGGTGGAGTGGGCCAGAGAAAGAGCGTCTGTGCACAGCCTGGACCCCCACCCCCAAGGGAGGGGCTGTACCCATCTGTAATGGGGTTGTGGGTCTGCCAAGGCCTACATCGTCTTTTTGTGGGGTTGCATTGACTGGAAGTGCAAAATGGCACAAGAGGGGAGACCCTTTTGATGCAAGTCAGCTGCATGTGTGAAACTTCGTTCGAATCCGTATATATGCGCATACATTTCACCTTGATTCCTCAAGGTGTGATTTTTCCAATAGTTGGAGCGTTTAAAGAATATTGTAAAATATTGTGCAGCTTTCCCACCCCTTTTATGTATTTCTAAATAAGAACAATGCGTTTGAATTCTTAAGAATGTAATAAATTTACACTCGCATCACGACGCTGTGGTTGTTACATTTGTGTTACGCGTTGAACATTTCTATGGCAGGATTTATCAAACTCTTAACCCTGATATATTTTGTAAAGCATTGCCCGGTAGACCTCCCCACCACCGTTTCCCCCCCCCCCCCCCCCCCCCATTCAGTGTTAATCTCCATCTTACTCGAGGCCAGTTCTCGCCCTCTGCGACACAATGTGTGAACATGAAAAATAAGTTTACGTTTTACCATTTCTGGCAATTCAAAAGGTGTTAAGATATTCTAACACCAAATGGATACCTTTTGCAAGGAATCAAGTACTGCATTAACCGCACACAGTACTTGCGGTGAACATGAAAACAAACATTGCTCTTATTCTTGGTTCTTTCGGTAAAGTCACGTATCAGGGAAACAATAAAATAATACAAATATAAAATTACAATTCTCACGTTTCGACTGCAACACAAGCAATCCTCACCTGATGATAATTGCTTGTGTTGCAGTCGAAACGTCGTGAGAATTTTATTGTTTTATATTTGTATTATTTTATTGTTTCCCTTCTATGTGACTTTACCGAAAGAACCAAGAATATGAATCCCTGCAGTCACGAATGCCTTAAATCAAAATTTTTACATTGCTCTAATAATATATTTATCCATTGTCTTTGAAACTGATTGGCCTACACCAGAGCATGTTTGTCTGCATGTTCACCACAAGGACTGTGTTTAATGCAGACTTTATTCTTTGAAAAAATGTATCTATTTGGTGTTTACACATCTCAAGGGTAAAATCTATTCTTATTTTTCATACTTTGAAACTGGCAAAAAGGTCCCCATGAATGTGTGAAGACAGCCTCGGGCCATCCGAGGTTATTTTCTGTTTCATTTAAAAATGTTTCTCGTCAAACTTTTTTATTTTACCAAGTAAGGCCCACTGAACTACAACACTGTAATTGTGTTGAGTTGTCTCCATGCCGTTTGTTGCATGGGTCTCATTTTTGGAGTCGCGTCGGCCAGTTTTGACGTTGCGCTGCAACACTAAAAATTTTATGTATTCCAACGAAGCAATACAATTTTACCGGGTCAGGCCTACTGAGCTATATAGCTCTTTTTTTTCAGAAGCGACCTGGCCACAAATGATAGCTCAACCTCGTAGTGGCTTGTGTGGACATTTCTTGCCGCCGAATACGCTAAACGACAGTGCTACGCTCCGTCCTTTGTTTGCTGGTAGCAGAAGTGACGGAGCACGTACAGTAAGAGGTGAAATCTTGCAAATTCTTGCTCATGCCAACTGCTGGTGAAAGGGCTTCCATGAGAGGGAGCTGCAGAGGGCATTTTTTTTTTTGGAGCGGCGGTTCTTATCCCGGCGTGCGAGACGTCACATTTTTTAGAAGGTAAATCATCGAAAACACAAACGCGGCCAAGTTAAGTGCAACTACTTTGTTTAATCAAACCAATGTATTTATTAACGTACATTTTTTTTATGATTTAGAACCAAAGGGTTGCAAGGGTCCAGTAAAGGTTAAGATTCAATTTATTTTATAGATATTATTCATAAAGTTTTTTGGGTTAGATCGCGTTATTTATAAATGTGTCGTAACCCTCCACCACCCGACACGGCCAATCGGCAAAAAAGTGTCACGTTTACAAAAGACAAATAGTTCACTACTTTAGCCCACCGGTGTGAGAGAATCCACAACATTTACAGTTTTTGAGTACGACGTTTCGCTGATAATTACATCCAGCATCATCAGGCAATTCGCCAGAATGGTGAAGCCCTCTCCACTTGCTCCCGGTCTTAAATAGAGCAGCAGCAGGGTGACGTCATCATTTAACTCATTCAGGTGCAGTGATTTGAGGCGGGGAGGGTATTGTAATTATATAATATATTGGTAATCAGTCAATGGTTATGATTAGTAATGAGTTGTAGATTAGTAATTAGTTGTAATGTGTGTTATTGTGATTATATGCTACTTTAGTAATCCGTTAATTAGTATGTGTTTCCCCTATAAGGAATTGTAATATGTATTATTTAATAATACGCTTCCAAGCCGCACAGCTTGTAGCTGTCAGAGCGATTAAAGTTATTTCTATTTCTCTCAATTTCAATGGATTCTCTTAATTAGTCTTTTGCCAGTAATCATTAGTTTTGCGCAACACTTCAACGTTACACCCACGTGACTTCACCGAAAGAACCAAAGAGTAAGAACCGCTTGCTTTAGATGGTCTTTGGTCCACCCTTATAACACGCTGGCCATGCGTCGTGGGAGTCGTGGGAGGTACCCACACTTTACCCAACCCACAAGTGATCTGTGGTGTACCCACTTATACTGCTGCCAAGTGGAGAGGCAGGGGAATGCACGACCTTGTTTCAACTGTCGTTACCCACAAGTGATCTGTGGTGTACCCACTTATACTGCTGCCAAGTGGAGAGGCAGGGGAATGCACGACCTTGTTTCAACTGTCGTTCCGAGAGGTTCTATTGGACCGGTGACCTCTCGACTTGCAAAACCACTGTGTGCTGACCATGACTATACATGGCAGTGCCCTCTGTATAATTGATTTAGTAGCTTTATAGGAAATGTGTTGAAACACTAAACCAAATTCAAACGTAATGTTCACATCCAGAGGTCAAAGTGTTGCCCATTACTGTGCCTCACAAATGTGTGTGCAGCAGACATCGGCTTGATGGACCTGTTTGTTTCGTTTTGCGCTTGATTTTTTTTACTCTGCTGCCGTGAAATGACTCTTGGTGTATCAGTTGACGACACCACTGCGAGCGTGGGAGGACACAGACACTTTGGGAAGCGGGAGCGCGACTCGAATAACCGAGCACAATCGACCACTGTCCACTGTCACAACGGGTGCTGGGCAGAGCGCAGAGGACCGTGGGAGCAGTCCACATTTGGATTCAATCTCCACTTTATTTCCAACACCATGGCATCACAACTGGCCACGCAAACAGCTCAATGGCTAGTCACGTCTCCACGGTTTGCGAGTGCAAGTTTATTATTCCAAAGAGGAACATTTGGCCGCCTTGTATCGGCCAAGACGATACAATTCGCGGAAAAAGCGTACCATCTGAAACTTTATTAAGTTGCATCGTTTTAGTGCTTCCATGTGAAATGATAAAAATTAAACAAACTCATGGGCGCTTAACTAAAGTGTGTTTCTCTCGCTCCGGGCATAGACAATTAAAAAAAAAAGTTGGTGAGATTGAACCGTGCACCTACATTCATATTTTATTGTTAATCTTAAGAGTTCTTATTCACCGTAAGTTGATAATTTCTTCTTATAACCATCTGAAGAGGATATTGCACGTAGAAATATATCGTATTTGTTATCAATGGTGGTGCATTTGTTGCTACAGAATTGTGAGAAGGGAATTTACCAGTGATTTAAGTGCACACACGTTGCCGTCATTTGTGAACTTTCACATTTGGTGCATCGCCGACATTACTTCACTTCACGTTACAAGCCGTGCAAATGAACGAACACCGCTAAATGTAAACAATTCGAGACTAATCATTAATTATTAACCATCAAAATGTTACCTCGGGATGAATTGTACAAAGCGAAACCGTATATTGTACCCCGACATTTACTTATACAATGTCGTCAACTGCTCAAACAACGTGAATCCCACAAGAGTTCAGATTGTAAAAAGAGATACACGAAAATTATTTACAGCCTTCATGCTTGAAGGATGTGCACTTGGTCATAAAAAAATGTTGGGAAAAGTATTGTGTTGTGACACCAAGGACTGTACCGATATTATCTTTCAGGTACACAAAGGCAACTTTATTCCTGTTTGTAAAGTGAGTGAGCAATGGTGGAGATCTGGAATTTATTACATTTACATGGACGTGGCATGGAAATACAGTACTGTAATTGTGCCAACATTTGGTGGACTTTTACCCTGCAAGTGATACTGATTGGCAGATCGAGTTGTGTGTAGTTTATCATTCATCAAGATATACAATTGAGCAAATCTTCACGTCGAGCAATAAAACCAGTAACAGGGCTACTTCCATGAAAATTTTCTAACCTCCTTGACTTTAAATCAAACATTTGTCGAAGCTGACACACGGTAGCACAGTATGAATCATCTACATTTTAAATTAACATTGTTTTATTCATTTAAACAAAAATCAGGATACTTTATTTCAGAAATGTACGTATATATATTTTTTTAAAATTTGTACACAAAATATAGGATTGAAATACAGGTCACCTAAAGCATTAGAATAATGGTAACTATGGGTTCACACTTTACATGCAATGAGAAAGCACTGGGCCAGCATAGCGTCCTTCCAGTTACGGGAGGTCTTTCAATCATTATTTGCCGAGTCCAATATACTGGCTTGAAACCTCAGAACATTATCTGAATCTGGCTTGGGTTCAAGCCAGGTCGGGGGTGAGGTTAATAATTTTCATAAGCTGGCCTTCACCAAAACATCAACCCCCCCCCCCTCCCGTCTTGCCTTAACCAAAATTGATTCTTCTCACAATATGAATTGCGATAAACTGCTCCTCCCCCCCCATCAATTCCTTAAACTCACCCGAATCGATTCTACTCCAGGCTGTAGGACACGCTCCCATCGCACAATTCATCATCTGCCAATGTGTAAGTCTTCATTCAAATTCAAACTCCCGTTACCAACTCTGTTTAATCTTAATTGGCGCCTTACTCGTATCAACTGCACAGTGATGCTATGATTGTAAATGGTGTTAATTGCCTACACTGCATCATCTACATGAACCTCGACTCGTTTATTGTACCGACGTCAGTGGCTTGACCCCGGCACACAGCAGCTCAGTTCCACAGAGGAAGACAGGGTATCAAAGTCTTTGGATCGAACAAAATTATTGAAGGCCCCCAAGGCAAATTGTCCCTTTAAGACCCCAACGCTTGTTGCATTGTCTGGGCATGAGACATATGCCCTCTAAAACATCCCTTTACGTTTAAGGAGTCGCGTAGAAGCCAAGAAGAAAACTGGTCACCGTGTGGGTCACGTGCAACAGCAGTGTGTGCGAGATGGGAACATTTGGCATTGGAGAGTAACATTTTATAAGTGCGGGGTACTCAAATAGGGGCGCACGGCTGCATCGGTGCATACCAATTCGTCTAGCGTTTAAGACGCGGGCACTGAACTGCGTGCTTAAGCATCGACGTGTTTTTTTTCTATTTGTATACGCTGTAAGTAAATGTCATTCTCACGTGACCCTCTCCAGGCACTAGAGGCCGATGCATCATATTCCCAAAAAATAATTATCAAATAAAATTGCGAGACGTCAATATATCGCAGGGGGGGGGGGGATCATTACACCCATATTTACAGTAGCTCATTAACTATCCATGTCTATTAAACCGAATAAAGACACCATTCGCAGCTCCATGACTACAGAATGGCACAATCTTGCAAAGAGTTGGGGTTGCTCACCATAAGCAGTAGAGCAGTGTTTTTTTTTATTTTTATAAGTTTTTAAATATTTCACCTGTGTATTTTGCCTGAAGATATGGAACATTTTGAGGGAATGAGCCCAACCTTGCAAAAAATACACAGAGCTGTTCTGGCCTTCAGTGTGGTGGTTATCAATGACGCGCCTCTCCTCAACCACACACAACAACCCGGAATATAAAAAGATCAGTAACAACCTTCATGGGAAAATTGAGAAGGGTTTCTTGGAAGTGATTTACAATTTTTTTTGTGATTTACAATTTTTGGAGGCGATATTAACTGAAGAGTTTTTGTTTTTCGTGTGCATCTATCTTGTAGTTGACTTGCCATTGGCAGCTTGTGCTTTTGGGCCGGTGTGTTTTGTCCCGAAATCCTTGTGATGATACATACGTTAAGTATTCAAGAAAGTAGCACATTAGATTTCAAAATACATTCTATCTGTCATCATTATGGCACAAAAAAAACGATTCTAAAATATAATTATATTCATATTACTGGACAGGAAATTATACCTGCAGAGACCTTCCAAGATGGATAGTTTAATATTGAACACGTATATACCCACAAGTAGAAAATAAGCTGGTGGTGGCTCATTAGGCCCAACATTTGACAAGTTCCATTAATCAGTGGAGCTTGAACATTCTAGTGTGTTAATAAGCCTCCCCATTGCATACACCAGCCCTCCGTACCAGAATAAAACATATAACCCTTGGTAATCCTTTGCAAAAAAGTGCTTAGAGTCCAGGTTACACGTGGTCGACGTTTGACACAAGACAAATGCCTACATGCTATGTGCGCTCGCTCTCCCTGCAAGGGTAAGAATGCAGCCACATTTAAAAGCGGTGATACCTGCTTTACTACGCAGACTGCCCAGGAACATTTTGTGTGTGTGTGCACGATTGTTTCCAGAGAGCAAAAATCCAAAACAAAACCTATCACAGAGGGCAAGAGCTGTACTCGTGTGTGAGGCACACGTCCGGAGCATACCATGTAGCGCATGGGCTGTGTGGGACAGGGGGAACCGGCTGACATACAAGTCAATGGTCGCTCACTGCAAGGGTGAGAATGGTTGCGGGATCATGATCCGAGACTCCATCTGCTGGATGAGGGGCACTGTAAACAAAGGCAAGACAATCTTTTAATATACAGAGTCAGAATATTTATACTAGAGGAATACCAATGAGCTACAATTTTTCACATATCCAGTAGGAGCGTGGGTTAAGAAGGTTACAGCAACAAACAATACAACATATATATAAAATACAAGTCTGTGTTTAGTTGTGATAAAAATTTCTGTTGGTGGTTAACTCAGCCCTTTTGCCTCAACAACGGTTGTTGTAAGGATCAACTCAATCTTGGCGTAAAATTCGCACGAATGTCTCAAGAGCGTCGTCCCCCCCATCTCGTGAGCAGGGAGACACCGATCCTGGGACAGGAATTAAAAGCATAATCTGAATATTTCTACTGGAGGAACTCGATGAGCTATAAAGCTCTTTTGCACAGAGAGGTAATAATCCAAGTCCAGCTCCAGTCATGTCCACATAGTCAATTGTCAGAAATGTCTAAAAAAAAAAAGAAATATATATAGCGTTATCCACATAGGTAATTGTTAGAAATGTATAAAGTATTATCGTGTTAAGAGAGATATATATATGAAGTGTTATAGTATAAAATATATTAACATACATCATGGTTAAAATGTCTGTGCAGACATATAACACATGTAACGGACGCAGTATCATCGTGGTCCACAATTCTTCGGAACGATTACTTATCAAAAACACCATTTTAATCTTCCGCCGTTAGCAATGGGAATTTCTCACAAATTCAGATGTGACGTTAGTAGATCTAGCATATGCATATTGTGAATGGGAAAAAAAAAAACAATCTCAGGAAGCCATCAGGAAGCCTCACCCGTGTAGTAAACGTTCTCGTCCCAGCCCCGCTTTCGCCACGCCGAGTTGCGAGTGTCGTCGCGGTTCTGAAGATCCTTGTAGGCTGCCGAAAACACACGGCATCCACGTCGCTCGACCGCCGTCCGTGACGCAAGTTTGTAAATTGGAGGAAGTTTAACACGTAGGCTTTTTTCATAACCATCGACTGATTACCAATCGATTATATAATTACAATACTCCCCCCCCCCCTCCGCCTCAAATCACTGCACCTGAAATGAGTTAAATGATGACGTCACCCTGCTGCTGCTGCTGCTCTATTTAAGACCGGGAGCAAGTGGAGAGGGCTTTACCATTCTGGCGAATTTGCTCGATGATGCTGGATGTAATTACCAGCGAAACGTCGTATTCAAAAACTGTAAATGTTGTGGATTCACTCTTCAACACACCGGTGGGCTAAAGTAGTGAACTATTTGTCTTTTGTCAACGTGACACTTTTTTTTGCTGATTGGCCGTGTTCGGGTGGTGGAGGGTTACGACACATTTATAAATAACGCGATGTAACCCAAAAAACCTTTATTATGAAATTGTAGGAAAACGCAACGGAAAAATGACCGCAATTGATTTACTGCACACAAAGGTGTGCAGTGTCTGTACAAAAGCTCGCAGCTTCATCCAGACCACCAGCTCAAAGGAACTGAATGTGTGGACGTGCTGTCGTTTCGACGAGCAACTCAATGAGTTGAAAAATTTTGCTGCCCAATAGGCAGCAGTGAAACTAACTGTAGACCAGTTGCATCCTCAATAGGACTCATCAGTACAGTCATTCATATTTGCTGCTACCATATGCCCCTGGAAGTTATGTCTTTGTTCGTTGTCATTTAGAGATTTCAATTATTGTTGCCTTGAGGCAAGCGCGAATGAGGTCCCTGTGGTGTAGAGGTAAGTCTCCCCCGTATCATATATATGGTGCTCTCAGAGGCCCTAATGGCTTTGATTACTGTACTTTACTGATGAGTCCCAGTGAGGAGGAATGGTGTAACAGTTCTGTTTTGCTGAGCATGGCTGTTGGAGCCTTTGGAATTTAACTAAAATAACAAGAATCCTAAACATGGTCTGGAGTGACTTTGGAAACTTTCAGCAACAAACAGTTCCTAAATGCACTGATTGTGAAGGTATTTTTACATCAACATGTTTTCCTAACAATAATTAACGTGAGTGGTTAGTGGATTACTCGAGAGAACAACAATCTACAAATGAGAACATACTGGACACGATACAAGCGAGACAGAGAAAACGAAACAATCAATTCTAGATTTGAATCTTTCGTGACTGCAAGGATTCATACTCTTTGGTTTTATTCGGTAAAGTCACATAGCTAAAAAAATAAACAAAATTAATTAAAACTAAATTAAATCACGACGTTTCGGGCACCACATAAGCGTCCTTCTTCAGGTGAGGACAACGTAGCGAAAGCACAACACACACTTCAGTGTCTTCAGGTGAGGGATACCGTAGCGAAAGCACAACACACACTTCAGTGTCTTCAGGTGAGGGATAACGTAGCGAAAGCACAACGCACACTTAAGCGTCTTCAGGTGGGGGATAACGTAGCGAAAGCACAACACACACTTAAGCGTCTTCAGGTGGGGGATAACGTAGCGAAAGCACAACACACACTTAAGCGTCTTCAGGTGAGGACAACGTAGCGAAAGCACAACACACACTTAAGCGTCTTCAGGTGGGGGACAAAGTAGCGAAAGCACAACACACACTTAAGCGTCTTCAGGTGGGGGATAACGTAGCGAAAGCACAACACACACTTAAGCGTCTTCAGGTGAGGGACAACGTAGCGAAAGCACAATACACACTTAAGCGTCTTCAGGTGAGGACAACGTAGCGAAAGCACAACACACACTTAAGCGTCTTCAGGTGAGGACAACGTAGCGAAAGCACAACACACACTTAAGCTAATGTGCTAATGTATTTTTGATTCTATTTGCGAGCTTGCACAGCTTTACATTTTATGCTAATTCCTTTGTCAAGGCGTCTTTTCTGTTTACCCACTCACAGCTTAAAGGAGGCGACCTGCGCTTGACTTTTTTCACTCCAACGCTGGTCCTCCGGACAGGTTGGTCCCTTCACCTGATGAAGGCCACTTGTGTTGTGGTCGAAACGTCGTGATTTTTGTTATTTTATTTCTTACCTACGTGACTTTACCCAATAGAACCAAAGAGTATGGATCCTTGCAGTCACGAAAGCTTTAAATCTAGAACACACTTAAGCGTTTGTGCTTTCGCTACGTTGTCCCCACCTGAAGAAGGACGCTTGTGTTGCACCCGAAACGTCGTGATATAATGTAGTTTTCATTTATTGTTTATTTTTTTTACCTACGTGACTTTACCGAATAAAACCAAAGAGTACGAAACGGAATCATATTCTTCAATGGAACCGCCGCCTTGACTTGTGGCAATTCATCAAATTACTGGCAGGCTGAATAGTTTTACCAAGGGAGTGATGACAAGCTCGCGTGACATGACACTGCAACACGGCAAAAGTGAGGTGGACGCTATTTACCGTGGACAAAATAAAACGGATAACAGAAGAAAAATAGGTAAGGAAGATGTATAGTCTATACAACTAGAAATGTATTTAAATACCTAAAGAATCACAATGTTCAAACTGATGCAACCACTTTGAGTAATTAAATAAATGGTATACGTTAAACGCATTGCATTGAAAGTGGGGGGGGGGGGGGCAAGGTAAAAAAAATCAAGCAAGTAGAAGGCAAGTTACGTGAAACCACAAAATACATAAAGGGCAGAGATATGAAAAGAGGGAGGGCAAGGAAGTCGAACAAAAGAAATCCACAGAACTCTCAAGACAACTCCCAGGCCCCCTCCCCCCACACGAGCCCCCACCCCCACGGCCCACCCCCCCCCCCCCCCCGCGGGCAGATCATCTACTCGCGCTTTCCATCAGCGCAACGTGCAAAATACTGACGTCTAAAACACGCCCGTGGACAAAGTTAAACGTCAAGGTACCTCCGCCACCCGCATTTCAAATGTATCGATGCAATAATTTAGTACGTAGATATCGATCGCTGTACGGTTGGTTGATCGTCGATTATCCGGCAGCTTCCAACATTTATCCGGCGGTCCTGGGCCGATCTGACGAAACCGGCAAAACCGCTCCAAATGCTGTAACCAGGTCCGGCGATCGACACCATGTGCGTGACAAATAAAGGGTATCTACGCTTTATTTCAGTGTGAAATATTATGGACAGTACATTACACAATGAACCAACTGCACGTATATATATATCATCCTACGCCGAGTCTTCGAGATTAGAGTGGTAAGCACGGCACATTAAATACCGTCACTATTTAAAGTAGGATATTTATTTTTGTCTATTTCTATGTTTATTTATGCAAATTTCATATAGTCAACTAATTCAAAATATTCTTGGTTCTTTCGGTAAAGTCACGTAGAAGGGAAATAATAAAATAATACAAATAAAACAATCAAATTCTCACTTTGTGAATAATACAAATAAATAATACAAATATAGTTTTAGTTTTATTATTTTATTTCCCTTCTACATGACTTTACCGAAAGGACCAAGACTATGAATCCCTGCAGTCACGAAAGCATTAAATCGAAATTTAATTCAAAATACGTGAACATATATAACAGCACCGAAAAACAAAGTCATACAAGAACGTGCAAAAATATGCCGTTTTAAATAACCATGTAGTGATTACCCCGGCGTTTTTGAAAATCCAGCACGCTCCCCCCACCACGCTTTCCGGATATTCGATGACCTACTGAACTTTTCCCCCCCCCCGTAGATCACAATCGACAATGTGCTACCCCCGGTGACCGCGTTGTGAGAGTGCACGTTTACCCCAGAGGTGGTGCACCATGTAGAGGTCACCGATCTGGGAGAAGAACCCCCCCACAGCCTCATTGTTCTCCTGCCGGAAGCGGATGGCTCGTGCCCTGCACGCCAGCAGACCACAGAGCCAACCAAGAGTTTTGGTTTGAAAGATTGGGCCCACCCCCCCCGGGCCCACCCCAGGTGCTCGCGAGATTATAAATAACGATTATTAACAAGTTTGTCACGCGCACAGTATTAACTCACTCTCGAAGGGGGGGGAGAGCGAGCGACTCGGAGGGGTAAGGCGCCACAGGCACATACTGGACATCTGTGAAAAAAGAGCTTCCTAACTCATCAGATTCCACCGGTCTAAATAAAGATGATGCTGAGAAGTGAGAAGGCAGCCGCGCGCTGGGCCCAAGCTCTGCGGTCCTCTATATATTAAGGTGTCATAGGTATTGCTTACATGTGGGAGGAAACCGGAGCACCCGGAGAAACCCCACACGTGCAAGGGGGAAACACTGTATCCCATACAGGCTGAACGGGTGGAGTCCACATTTTTTATGTACTGCCTTCTGACATCTCGACCTCTACATGGGAAGGGAGGTTCACGACATTTGTGCGATCCACCAACCCTCGCTGCCTTCCACAGTGCTGGATTACAGGCGTGTGTCGCCACCACTACCCGCAGATGCCTGCAGTGCCCGCAGATGCCCGCAGATACTCTGACGAGCGCGACGAGGCTAAGACTGTTAAGGCAGTTGCACTGGGAAAGACAGTGCCCAATTCTGGGGGAGGCAGTAGCTACAAACACTTAAGATTGTCGAAGAACATGCAGTTTTAAAGGCAATGGTGTCTCTGCAAGGCGACTCACCAGTTGTTTCCCCATTCGATCATCGTGCCTGGCTGTCAGAATAAAAAAAAAACAATGAAATGATTATACGGAGAAATGTAATTCATTTATTTATTATCACAATTGTTAGGGCATGGGACATAGATCGAAACAGAAATGTGTTTAAGAAATCATTTGAACATTAATCAAACTAAAAGCTTAAATTATCATACAGTAGTAACACGTTTATATTCTGTTAAGACTACACTGCAAGATATTTCAGAATTAACATCCTAAGAGAGCTACAACAACACAATTTTATATTTCATGATGATACGTGGCTGATTTAAATTTGCCATTTGTCACTTTCTGGGCAAAGTATTTTTTGTTGTCCGTCCCCGCACATCCAATGAGCACGGTTGGCTACACACAGTGAGAAATAAGTTCAACATACGTACATATATACGTATTTATTTTTACGAACTCAGCTAAACTCCCATGGAAGGTGTTTCTAAATGTGAATAACGACACGACAATTCCCGTGGGTGCACTGTTAAAGGTGATTAATGTGGTCACGCTTACGCAAGGGGGCTTCTCATCTTAAAAAGGATGAATCTATTCTACTTTCCCATGCTCATGAGACGTGCAAGGAGTGGTGGAAATCCATAATACGGGTTTTTTTGGGTTAGAGCGCGTAAAGATAAATGTGTCGTTAAACCCGCCACAGCCAATTAGTAAGGTTCGTCACGTAAACATAACATACCAATTCGTTACTAGTGTAGAGGTGCTAACTACTCACTGTTCAGTAACCTGCATTGCCACTAGGTATCAAAGGGGCAGTGCAGCGTTACCTCTGTGTGAATAACGATTGGGGTCAGACGAGGTGAAGTGGATCGTAGCCACAGTTTGGCAAGAACCAATCAGACAGTTCCACGTGAGAATGTGGGATTGGTTAGACCTGGCCACAAACGGGTATAAGAAGGGTGAGCGCGCAGAGGGCGGGGAGTTCTCTCCCTGCACGAAGACCAAAGCCCGGGCTGAAGATAGACAGGACCCTGGACCAGCCTTCCAGCCCTTCTGAGGGCTAAGGCTCGGCGTATCCAGTGGTCAAGACCCACCGGGCCAGCGGTGGGTCAGATAGCCTCCCCTAGGTCCAAGCCGGAGGACTCTAAGATAGCGGTAGACTCGAGAGTAAGTCCCGCCAAGATAGGAGGCTGTACCTCCTTAGGTTAGCAAGAGACCTGTGTGTAGGTCACGCTAAGTCCGGAGGCTGTACCTTCTTAGGGTATCGGGTGAGGGGACCGTATACCCCTCTGTGTGTTAAGGACTGTGTAAGAGAAGAATTACAATAAACAGTGTGCCTCATAAGGAGTTTATTCGTCATTATAAACACTACACTAGTACAGCACACCAGTCTGTTGGAGAGCAAAGCGGTGGAAATAATAACTACACTTTATCAGTCCTATGCGGCAGATCAGTCTGCGTCACGTATCGTCTCCATTGTGGTAGTTTCATAATTGCCACCTTCATCATGAACACTGTCTTATAACGAAAACAAGACAATATATGGCAAATTTTGATTTAAATCTTTCGTGACTGCAGGGATTCATATTCTTGGTTCTTTCGGTAAAGTCACGTAGAAGGGAAACAATAAAATAATAAAAATATAAAACAATAAAATTCTCACTTTGTGAATACTGCAACACAAGCAATCATCATCAGATGTGAAAACCACATTTTCTTGTGGTTTTCAAATTTTCTTGCTGTGGTTTTCACACCTGATGATGATTGCTTGTGTTGCAGTCGAAACGTCGTGAGAATTTTATTGTTTTATATTTGTATTATGTTATTGTTTCCCTTCTACGTGACTTTACCGAAAGAACCAAGAATATAATATATGGCAAGGTAACCTTTTGGGAAACGGCCTTCCTCCAGACATTGCCCAACATCCAAGCCTATTATTAAATTAATAATAATTAATTCAGCCCGTTGTCAATCCACTGCTGAATTAAGGCCTCCCTGTGCCGTATCAGTCACGGGGGTCATTTGACCACACTTTGTAAGAGTAATTGGCTGATATAGATTTCCACGCAATAAGCCACTGTGTTGAGCTATCACTTGTGGCCAGGTCGCTTCTGCGAATGAGCTACACAGCTCAGTGGGCCTTACCAGGCAAAATAAAGAAATTGTTTAGTTTTATACTTCACTGCATTTCTCAGCGCAGGCTAATGAAGTCTGAAGCCTATAATGATGCTGTCATATACATATATATGTTGCTACAAATGGATGCGTTTGTTGGGTGTGGGTGGGTGGGTGGGGAAGAGGCAGACAAGGGGGCAGCAAAATGGAGGAGGCACCTTGAGTCTGTAGCTCCGCAGCTCGTAAATATTGGGCCCGGGCCTGGGGAGGGGCTCATTCCAGAAGCTAAACTCCATCAAGAGTTGGTTTTTACGTGCGTGGAGCATTTTACTCCGTTCCCTCCTGAACTCCAGGTACTCCTGTGAGTGTCAAAGCACAACAGTGAAATATGAAACCATCAACTACACTAAACCACGTTCGAATACCAAAATAACGTGCAGTGCGTGCAAATTACATTATAAAGCATGTGCACATTGCTGAATTTAATGTCACAAATTGATTAGGCGGATGTGCATTTAGATGCGATTGGTTATTTCGCAAAATAAGTAGAATTCTCAGCCCAAACGTCCATCATCTCGGGGTGTGTTAAAAGTAAACAACATGCATGCCTTGTTCTGCCTCAGTTTATTCATAACATCCATCAGAGTTGGATAGCCACCGATGTATCGCCATAGGTGCACTACACACAACACAAAAGCAGCGTGAGGACAACACATCACTTGGTCATGCTGCGTTGGCAGTCGTGCACAGGCACAAATTGCAAAAAAAAACACACGATGCACACACGTCATTGACACTGCTTCACAAGAAAAAAAAAGATATAATAGGCGACGTTTCAGACAATGGCCCTTCTTCATAGCACATAGATGTTGTATGAAAACAGACCATTACACAAAACCTCACCTATTTTTTTCCTGAGCCTTAGTTAATTTTGGAATATACTTAAAACGGTGTTTGTTGGTTCAAAGAGCGTATTCCATGTGATGAATGGGCATTTGTGACCGGAATGGACTCGAAAGACGGCACGATAGGAAATGTTCAGACTTACTTTACTACAGGAAATCTACCGCTCAAAGATTTTGGATAGTTAGGTCCTCTGAAACATTTGTGATGACAATGCATGCTGTATATCTCACAGGATGTTAGCTAGCAGCTTTTGAGACTTTGTATGTAGGTTCCCCAGTGACACGGACAATCGGGCAAAACAACGTACCAACATGTTGCAAAAACGACTACTGCTGCATCGAGCACTTTCAGATGCACTTCTGCAGCCGTCTGGAACGCTCTTTCTTCCGATATTAGGAAGCCACTGGAGCTACGCACTTTTAAATCTAGATTAGTTTCGTTTTGTTGTCCTTCCCCACGCACCTCCGATTAGCGCGAATGACTACATACAGTGCGAAATAAAAACACACACATACAAGCTTTTGTACCTTTATGAGTCCATACATGCATGGTGCTGTGCTATTCTTGCTCTGCCAGTGCTGCATATTCCCTATATCAATAAGTGGCCTGCACTTGTTCCGCATGCTCAAGTGGCCAAGCACACCCTATATATAGGGTCACTGTTTTGATTTCTCAAGAGTGGCCATGTTGGGACCACACCCACCCACCCCCCCCCAATGAATAGTTGTGACCCTTCATGGAGTTCTGGTGCGTCCATCAAGGGGGTGCTTGTCTGAATGATGTCAGGAAAGTACGCGTCACCATGCACATGCACCCAACAAAAACAGTGACATCCAGTTCATAACGCTGATGCCCATGTAAACACACACGTCCGCATACAGACTCTCCAACCCTTCTCAAAGCTCGTCAAAGGAATTCCCCTCTGACTCCCCATATCTACCACTGGAGTTAAACAATAGCTCATTCCTTTGGTTATTTATCGACAAGTGTATTGAAGACAGGGTACAAACCTTGTGCACTGAACTGTACACATGACCAGTTTAGCACGTACGCTTTCGCGACCAAAATTATTTATAAAAGGTTTTTGGGTTACATCGTGTTATTTATAAATGTGTCGTAACCCTCCACCACCCGACACGGCCAAACAGTAAAAAAAAGTGTCACGTTTACAAAGGACAAATAGTTCACTACTTTAGCCCACCGGTGTGTTGAAGAGTGAATCAACATCATTAAAATTTTGAGTACTCGTTTCGCTGGTAATTACATCCAGCATCATCGGGCAATTTGCCAGAATGGTGAGGCGCTCTCCTCTTGCTCCCGGTCTTAAATAGAGCAGCAGCAGGGTGACGTCATCAGCTACAGGCGTAGTGCGGCCTGGAAGTGTATTATTAAATTAAATATATAATATAATTACAATTCCTTATAAGGGAAACAAATACCAATGAATAACAATTGAATGATTACCAATCTATTATATAATTACAATACCCTCCCCGCCTCAAATCACTGCACCTGAATGGGTTAAATGATGACGTCACCCTGCTGCTGCTCTATTTAAGACCGGGAGCAAAGTGGAGAGGGCTTCACCATTCTGGCGAATTGCCCGATGATGCTGGATGTAATTACCAGCGAAACGTCGTACTCAAAAACTGTAAATGTCGTGGATTCACTCTTCAACACACCGGTGGGCTAAAGTAGTGAAATCTTTTGTCAACGTGACATTTTTTTGCTGATTGGTCGTGTCGGGTGGTGGAGGGTTACAACACATTTATAAATAACGCGATCTAACCCAAAGACGTTTATTATGAACCATACTGGTATATTTGCACGTTTCATTCATGATACATGCTATGGTGCGTGTGGCATATCCATGCTGTGCACATGCCCATCATGCGTACATACCGGCCTGATCCTGCTCTCCGTACCACGTGTTCCAAGAGCCCACCAGCTCGCATGGGTAGCTCTCATCGTTGTGCAATTTCATCAGTGCCTCCGCTCTGCAGTGCGAAAACGCTATCCATGAGATCCACAATGCACGCTGGCAAAATACCAAAACAAACAGCTTGACTTTAAAAAAAGAATGTGGCTTTAATTGAAACCAAATGAAAACGCATCCAACACAGGCCATATTTCAGCGTCACGTTACCAGAAGGCTTGTCAGCATTTGTAGATTAACACAACATGGAGGAAAGATGCACTATGAAAAACGGAAGATAGGAAAGCGATTTTACAAACTTTTGCTCGTCATTTTATTTTCACTGTGAAACGTTGTAGGTACAATTATATGGGTAACGATGATGAAGATAACACATTTGCTTATGACAAATATCCCTTGTGAACAGGTTTGAGTGCTTTGGGAAAACTTAGCTTGATAATGAGAGCAACATGCTGATGTGCCTCAAGAGAAACAAGGGCAATCATTGTGGCCAGCCGATGACATTCAACCTAGAGATATATCTAACAGATAAGAGCTCTTTGGGATTGTTTTTTTTGCTTTGTATTATGCGAAGTAAAGCGATGATGCTCTCTGAAGATGAGTGATGCTCCATTTTCTTTTTTGTTAGGAGACGTGGGCAGGCAATAATCAACAAGTGGTTGTCATTAACTGTGAAAACAATTGCAGGCTTAAGGAAAATTAAAACAAATATAAAAGAATGTTATGGATGATCTAAGTTTCACCTTTCAAAAATGTTGAGGCCAAACTCATTTTTGAGTTGTCAATGCTACATTATATATAATTTAAAAAACGTTATACATTTCAACAACATCTAAATCTTCATTGTACGATACACAACTTACGAGATTTTGTTGTAGTCCTCTAGATTTTCTGGCTTCACGTTGTGAACTGTCAAATGATAAAGATTGATAAAAGTTAACTGTACCGATTTGGTCAGCGCTTACAGCTATAACTTTCCCACATTTTCAAGGCATGGTTTTGTTATCCGACCGGTCTCTTTTCATAACACACGGCCAAGGCAACAAAGGAGTGGTTGAAGAAGCACATTAAGGTCCTGGAGTGGCCTAGCCAGTCTCCAGACCTTAATCCCATAGAAAATCTGCGGAGGGAGCTGAAGGCTCGAGTTGCCAAACGTCAGCCTCGAAACCTTAATGACTTGGAGAAGATCTGCAAAGAGGAGTGGGACAAAATCCCTCCTGAGATGTGTGCAAACCTGGTGGCCAACTACAAGAAACGTCTGACCTCTGTGATTGTCAACAAGGGTTTTGCCACCAAGTACTAAGTCATGTTTTGCAGAGGGGTCAAATACTTATTTCCCTCATTAAAATGCAAATCAATTTATAACATTTTTGACGTGTTTTTTCTGGATTTTTTTGTTGTTATTCTGTCTCTCACTGTTCAAATAAACCTACCATTAAAATTATAGACTGATAATGTCTTTGTCAGTGGGCAAACGTATAAAATCAGCCGGGGATCAAATACTTTTTCCCTCACTGTAAAAGGCAAAGTTGTGAATATATGTGTCTGTTCAAAATGTTTAGCGTACTTCCCGACATGCAACAAACTGGAAATTTGCCATGTGGGTACTTTCCAGACTGTACACCATGCAAAAATTATGAAAATACACTTTTGTTTTTTTTGGGGGGGAGGGGAGCTCAATAATGCATTTTTTTTGCACGGCAAGTGAGCTGTGACGTCAAATCTGTCACGTGACCCACGCATGTGGAAGCGGAACGCATTGTAGTGTAGTGGCTAGCGCGCTGCGTGGTGGATCCAAGTACCGGGCGAAGCCGGGTAGTACAGCTAGTATTTTCATATGCATGACAATACCTAACAATTTGAATAGAGTGTGTAAATACAACCACATGTCAAGACACTGTAAGCAACAGAATGGCAAGGACATCATGTAATATGTGCAGTACATATGTATGTTAGAGAAGAGATATTATAAGAGTTTTCATTAAGTTTTATGTAGTGCGTAATGTACTGACTATATTATTTAACACTGAAATTAAGCGTAGCTACCTTTTTGTTGTCATGCACATGGTGCCGATCACCATAATAATCAACAGCCTTTTGAGCGGTTTCGCCGGTTCGGCCCAGGACCGTTGGAAATTGTTGGAAGCAGCCGGATAATCGATGAGCAACTATATACATGACCATAACAGTGCGTCTGCCCTCGCAAGCATATAACATATGCACCGTACTGCGGTATTCCGAACGCGCTTTGGAAGCGGGCTCCAATGTTTATTTGCATACACATCAATATGTGCAGAGAGGCTCTTATTTATACAAAGCCTGAACACAACACTTACTTTTACAAAGGTACGAAAATACCTCGACAAAATATATAATCGTTATTTACATATGGAAGTAAAAATGACTAAAGCAGGTTAAGTCTTGTTGATATTGGCGCGAAAGCCGATGTCAAAAATACCATGAAGCATTTTTAAATCGTGTTGCGGTTGTGTAAGATTACACTATCAAGCCCATTTATCTCGAGCTATAACAACAGCATGGAAGCCACCTATGCCCTAGCCAGTAAATTGGCAACTACCATGCTTGAAACTTGACAAGAATGGCATGCTCAAACGCATCACCGTCACAACGAAAATATTGGACCCATTTCCCTTAGAATCAGCTTGGCTCGGCGCATATTAAGCAGATCGCCATCCACTTGCATACAGTTGATCATGGATTATCCGGCACCGCGCAATTATCCATCCGGCTGCTTCCAATATTATCCGCCAGTCCCGAGCCGATCCGGCAAAACCGGCAATCAGCACCGTGTGTGTGACAAAAAAAGTAGTTACCCTTGAATTCAGTGTCAAATATTATCGACAATACATTACACACTGCATACAACTTAAACAATGAAAATACTGCATGTATATACATCACCCCATGCAGAGTCTTCGAGATTGGAGTGGTAAGTACGGCACAGTAAATACCGTGACTTTTAAAGTAGGATATTTATTTTTGTCTATTTCTACGTTTATTTATGCCAATATCATATATAGTAAACACATTTAAAAACACAAAAAGAACATACAACACCTAAAAAGAATGTGCAAAAATAAGCTATTTAAAAAAATTATGTAGTGATTGTCTGGCACTTATAAAAAAAAAACCCGGCGCCCCCTCCCCCTGAAGCCGCAGGATTATTATCGATGATCGACTCTATGTCAACATGGGAGCTTGCGCTGTGCACAAACGTAGTCCTTAAGGCCAATTTAAAGCAATGCGAGTAGGGAAAACCGTGGATCTCCAGGCTCTCACAAAATAACAGGATTTGCGGTAATGAGGATTACAGATCGAAGGTGTTTTTACTGTAATTGGAACAAAATAACTATCTTACAATCTATGTTTAACACAATGCTCATAAATTATGAAAAGCAGACATGCAGTGTACGAATTGTAACCATACATTGTTTTACACTGACATTAAAGTGTCAAATTATTCCATTATATGTAATACAAATGCTAACGTTCACTATACATAGAACATACTTGGAATAATCTGTTATCGTGGCATACACCAATATCCTCGGAATGCTGTTGTGTTTATGAATTCTGGGTGATGATGACCAATGAAAGGCTGATATGATATCACTTCATGGCAATGCAGTGGATGGGAGACTGCTGAAGCCTGCAACTGGGATCCACCACAAACACAGAACCTAACACTGAAACGAGCAATGATCGATGCTAACAAGAACGGCCTATTAGACCTACCCCCATCAATGCCTGCTGCTACCTCTACAAAAATGATGAACAGCATCCATGAGCACCAAACTGCCTCAATGCAATGCTCACCTTACACGGATGACCATGATGATAATAATGATGATGGAGTAGAGGAGCAAGATGCAATGTCAGTACGTGGGAACGTGGTGAGTGAACAAGTTGACTCACGCTGCAGCTTGTAGAGGCTGCTCGTCTCCTTTTTGGAGAGCAGGTTAGAGTGTGCATCTGTGCGTGGGTCCACCTTCTGCACGAACATCTTCTTGAGCCACCCTCGCTCCTTCTCCCGGCATGCAGCCGACACGGACACGCATCTGTAAGCGGAGATCGACACACACCTTCTGTCAATGTGACCCCGGAGCACGCCGCAGAATAAGATATCCAGATCAATATGCAGACAACACGATTAAGCAAAGTATAGACACATTTAAGGGAGCTGGAGTGACAAATTTATGAAGGTGCAACAGACTTAGGTTGCATATAGAGACACTAGGGGTTGTTTGGGGGCGCCTATGGCACCCCCTCACAACCATTTACGGCCTTCGGCCAGCAAAGTCACACAAAAATTACACACGAACGATGCATTCACGCACCCACCCGATGCTCCGTTTTGAAGTTTTAAATTGAAACATCTTTGAATTGTATTATGTTTTGAATTAGATCATTTAATTTCCCCATTAATAGCTTATATAATTTAACATCTGGAAGACTTCATTGAAAAGGACATTTCGTGTGAATTTTCTCTCGTCGTCAAGTAGATGGCCTTGCTGGGGGTTCGGTTCGATGCGGACTTTCACCTGGTTGGGATTGCGGGATTGAGATAAGGCGACACGGAGCTGCTGGCCGTGCGAGAAGACCGCCGTCTGCAGACCGATTCCAACGTAACCGAACGTCTGTCCCTGAGCCTCCGTCGTTCATGCAGGGGGCGCGTAGCTTTGCAACGCCCCCTGCATGAAAACGACGGAAAGTGCAGCGTTCATCACATATATAGATGTGCGCTTGTATAAGAGTATTTAACAGGCCCTCCAATTGTGATTTGTAATGCTCAGATGTGTAGTTTGTCAGCTATTCTAGAATTTGTAATAAACAGAAGCCGTGAAGCTAAATTCACCAGTGTAGCTGTCTTATGGGTTCAACATTTCAAAGTTTCAATTAAGAAATGAACTTTAGAAATATGGTCACCGTTTCCACAACATTGTAAGATAAGGATGGCACACGGACGTGGTTAATTTTAAAATAACCAGTTGGCTATTAAAAGGTTTTTAAAGCCTATTTTGGGGTTAATTCAGGCTATCATTCCTGCAGAGGAGATAAAATCAGGAACCCCTATTTGTAAAAGCAATACCGGTGCAAACTACCTGAGGCTGTCCCCTGCCAAAAATATATGGAGTTTTCACAACTCACTCAGGGACAACCATTGCTCACTTGACCAGGTGTACACTTTGCTTTTGCGTGTACTGTAACACTAAGTGTGCTATCTATAATCGTTTTTGATTCATGTTAACAGATGCTAGAAAATCCACCGCGGCAAATGCCATGTCAATCGTTGACCATTTATCAATCCAGTAATAGCGTGGGACCGGGCGGTCATCAAAGGTGAGGCAGAATGTCATGCGGCTCGTACGAGAACGCGTGATGATTGGATGAAAGGGGTTACACACCCCCGGCGTAACCTTCTACCCTATCCGGGTTCAAACACACGTGTTTACACGGCAAAAGAGGCTTTACGACGTGCTGAGTAAGGACTGTCCTTGTTTTCCAGAACCTTTGCCCCGGTCACACTGGACTTTGTTCCAAAAAACAACATGCTTTTGAAACAGTGGACCACGACGCACTTTTGGCTCAATGAACATTACGTATGCAAGTTTAAATAACTTTCCCCACTTTGTCGGCCCACTGCTGGATGAGGGCAAAACAACTTGTTGTGCATGGTGGCCATCAAACCCCAAGCGCTTTCTGAAACCTCAATCCTGCCTGGATTCCAAAATCTGACCAAATCGAGGTGCGTCCCATACAATTTGGTGATTGACAAATTTATTGTACAGAATTTACACTCACCTAAGCATTAGCCCGGTGTTAACTCGTCACTACAAGCACTGTGTTTCTGGCCACACTATAAATTAAATAGCATCATCGCCTCTGTAAGCCTATAATTTGACAGCCCTATGTGCAAAAAATAACATTTCAGCTTATTGCATACGAATGATTACCGCTTGTTATTTTTGTGTAGTCTGTAGGGTTTCCTCACGCGCACATCACTCATCAATAGCATTGGCCAAACCAAATAAATTGAGGACCAACTTTAAGTTAATTTCATTTAAGCAAAAGTAATAACTCAAGAGACTAGAATACTGTTGTCCCATTTGCAATAGTGACATGGGTGACCAAAATAATAAAAGAAAAACAAATCAAATGGAGTGCAACAATTAAGGAAATATATTTTAAAACATATGACACTGTTTAAACAAGTCTCAAAGAATAAAAAAAATAAAAACTTCGCTGTGTTTGTCCCCATCTGATGACGGACGCTTGTGTTGTGCCCGAAACGTGATTTAATTTAGTTGTTTTCATTTTTATTTTATTACCTACGTGACTTTACCGAATAAAGCCAAAGAGTATGGATTCTTGCAGTCACGAAAACTTCAAATCTAGAAGTCTTAAAGACTCAGTGAGGCTTTGCTGGGGCACGAACGTTACATCGTATGTGACGTAAATGCGGGTTGTTTACGGTATGCATCTGTGTGTTTAAAGTAGATCATTAAGCAATGAAATGCCGTGGTGTTAAGTACCGCCATCACGATTGCAATGAATGTGTTACCAATCACTGTCAATACACATTTGCACGAGATCTCGAGTAAACAATCACACGCGTGCAATATCAAGTGAGTCCCTACAGGGGGGGGGGGAGGTTACTGTTGAGGGATCGTCGCGGGAGGCCTAGCCACAGGCTCCCGCAACAAAACTAGGCAAACGCCTGGCAGAGCCCAGAGCTCCGAAGGCAAGACGCTTAACGGTGCTAAAAGCGCAAACGTTATAAAGATACGTCTCGTGCAGGGGACAAGGCGGATGAGAGGATTTACCTCGCAGTCGCAAGCGAACACGAGCGCCTCCCGAGACAACCGCGAGCGAGTTCCCTGGCGAGTAGCGTGCACGGCATGGTGAAGCTCCCTCACTCACTCACGCACTCGCAAGTCAGAGCGGCAGGCGGTGCTGCCAGCGACCGCACGGCGAAACCTCGCGGGGTGGGGGCGGGGTTTAGACGGGCGGACCCTAATTAACATAAATAATTTTTCAATGTTTGGACGTGTCTAATTAACATAATGTGATTTCAATGTTTGGACGCGTTTAGTTAACACAATGCGTGAAAAAAAAATTTGGACGTGTTAAATTGACGTTGTTTATTATTCGATGTTTCTCTTTGGTTCTTTCGGTAAAGTCACGTAGAAAGAAAGTAAATAAAATAATTTAAGTTAAAATCTGACTTTACCGAAAGAACCAAAGAGTATATTCTTAGTTTTTTCGGTAAAGTCACGTTGAAGAGAAACAACAAAATAACAAAATATATATAAAACAATAAAACATTATCACGACGTTTCGACCATAACTCAAACGGTCATCATCAGGTGTGTCGGTTTGCATCGGTTTGCATAACACACCTGATGATGACCGTTTGAGTTATGGTCGAAACGTCGTGAGAATTTTTTATTGTTTTATATATATTTTGTTATTTTGTTGTTTCTCTTCAACGTGACTTTACCGAAAAAACTAAGAATATGAATTACTGCAGTCACGAAAGCTTTAAATCAAAACCAAAGAGTAATTTCTGCAGTCACGAAAGCTTCAAATCACATTCGATGTTTGGCCGTGCTTGATTAACATAATTCATTATTCGATGTTCGGCCGTGGTTGATTAACATAATTTATTATTTGAAGTTTGGCCGTGGTCGATTAACATAATTTATTATTTGAAGGTTCCCCGTTATTGATTAACATAATTTATTATTTGTTGTTTGCCCGTGTTCGATTAACATAATTTATTCGATGTTTCGTGAAAACGTTTAAAGCAGGCGCGGTTCATCCTCGTCCACCAGGGGAGTTAGGGCACCGCTCCACAAAGCAGCTGGAGATGAGAAATGTCATAATGCTGGGTTGCAGTCTGCAAATATAGCAGGGTCACGGTCTACACGCTCTAGACTTTTGGCAGTGTCAAAGGGACTCGTGCTGTTCAAGGTGCATGATCAGCCGTGCGTTGATAAGTCAAATCGGGTTTGCGTGAACATTTTTTTGAGAAAAGGACTAATAGTCACGTTGGCAGATAATTCGGTATTGCGGGTTCAAGGGCAAGTTCCTCTCTTTAAAGTGTGGGGGGACAAAGATGTGATGTGACTTTTTGGTTGTTTTAGGTTTATCATTGGAAATGGTTTTTGGCGTCGATTTATTGTTCCGCACTACGTGCTGGTTTCGCCATTGGGCGTTACTTTTCCATTGCTGAAATATGGAAAAAAAAAAACATTGCTGGTTGCTCCTATAAATCTTGACCAGGTTCGGCTTGAGATAGCGGGTGGAGAAAGCAAAGATTCCTTGTTGGAATTGCTCGGGCGTTTCCCTGATGTATTTTCTGAGCGGACAGGGAAGACAGTAACCCTGTGTCACACCATTTAATTGATGAACGAGACCCCTATAAGGTCCTGCCCATATTCTATGAAAGAGATCATTCATAAGGGGAAATATCAAAGATGATAATGGAAGGGTTCATTGAGCCCAGTCGTTCCCCATGGGCTTCTGTCGTTCTGGCACCGAAAAAAAGATGGGTCTTGGCGCTTTTGTGTGGATAATAGGAAAGTAAATGCAGTCACTGCCAGATTCCTCTCCGTTGCCCCAAATTCCAGATTTGTTGACGTCTGTGGGAGGGGCTATATGGTTCTCGACACTGGATTTGCGTCAAGGTTTTTGGCAAATCCCTTTGGATTCAAAGAGCCAGACTCGCTCTGCTTTTATTACTCGAAGGCTTGTATCAATTTAAGGGCATGCCTTTTGGATTACAAAATGCCCCTACGACGTTTCAAAGACTGAATGAGGTACTTCGGAGTCTGATTGGAACATATTGCTATGTGTACATAGACGATATCATAATATTTTCAAAGTCTTTTGGCCAACATTTGGAACACCTGCATTTAGTTTTTGCCAGGTTGCAGCAATATGAGTTAACTTGTAAGTTAGAAAAACGCTCCTTTGGGACGAAAGAAGCGGAATACCTGGGCTATATCTTGACCCCGCAAGGAATCCATACGGATCCTGCGAAGGTTCAGGGGGTGCAAGATTTTCCCAGACCTACGAATAAAAAAAAGTGCAGAGATTCGAAGGGCTGTGCCAGTGGTATTCACGTTTTGTGCCGCACTTGACTCATACAGTGAGGGAAAAAAAAAATTTGATCCCCTGCTGATTTTGTACGTTTGCCCACTGACAAAAAAAATGATCATCATTAGACCTCCTTTGCCAGTACCAAAATGTTATAATAGGGTTTTTCCCCTTTTTCTGGCAACAAAACTGAAACCTTTTTACAAGGATTCATGTCTGCATTAACCACAATACCTGTAGTCAAAATGCAAGACAAATACTATGATAATATATGCATTGTCCTTGAAACTGATTGGTCCACACCAAGGGACGGCTTTCTTTTGAACCTCGACCCAATTGGTGATCGACCAGATGACGCCAAAAGGCGTACGGCTCAAAGACAATGCACTATCAAAGTAATGAGAGCTCGGGGTGAGCATCTACATCATTAGACCTCCTTTGCCAGTACCAAAATGTAATAATAGGGTTTTTCCCCTTTATTCTGGCAACAAAACTGAAACCTTCTTACAAGGATTCATGTCTGCATTAACCACAATACCTGCAGTCAATATGCAAACAAAAAACATACTATGATGATAGATGCATTATTGGAAACCTCATTTGCCAGTAACAAAATATGATAATTGTTTTTTTATCCTTTTATCTGGCAACAAAACTGACACCTTTTTTACAAGGAGTCATGTTTGCATTGACCACAATACCTGCGGTCGGAACGCAAACAAAAAAAACACAACTCTGATAATGTATGCACTGTCCTTGAAATTGATTGGTCCACACCTGAGACAGCTTTCCTTAGAGCCTCGTCTCACATGGTGTTGGACCAGATGACGCCAAAAGGCGCATTTTGGTGTTGGACCAGATGACGCCAAAAATAATCTGGTCCAACACCAAAATGCGCCTTTTGGCGTCATCTGGTCCAACACCATGTGAGACGAGGCTCTAAGGAAAGCTGTCTCAGGTGTGGACCAATCAATTTCAAGGACAGTAAATACATTATCAGAGTTGTGTTTTTTTTGTTTGCGTTCCGACCGCAGGTATTGTGGTCAATGCAAACATGACTCCTTGTAAAAAAGGTGTCAGTTTTGTTGCCAGATAAAAGGGTAAAAAAACACAAGTATAATATATGCATTGTCCTTGAAACTGATTGGTCCACACCAAGGGACGGCATTCTTTTGAGCCTCGACCCAATTGGTGCTCGACCAGAAACCAGAAACCCTGACATTTTTCCGATGTGCCAAATAACCTCTCGAGTTGTTCAAACAGTTTTGGAAAAGGAAATCCTTTGGCGGTGGGGAACTCCTACCTTCCTCCATACAGATAATGGGCCACAATTCACCAGGGCTCGTCGGTTCAAATGGTGTGGGGACCATGGCGTTCCACATGTTAGGACGCAACCGTACCGTCCGCAAGCAACTTGTACGGAAAGAATAAATTGCGATATAAGTGGCTTTGTGAAGATTTATTGCAATGAGCATCGAAAGAGCTGGGGGAAATGTATCCCTAAAACTTGCATGGTCCCTGCGGACAGCCATTCAGGAAACCACTAGTTATTCGGTGTACCAAATTGTTCTAGGCCAGAACCCAAGCTCCCCCTCCTGGAGGTAGCTTCCCGGGGAAAGTGTCTTAAAGACATCCCTGGGGAACTTGGGAAGCATCAGGCCATTTGGGAAAAGGTTAAATGACGAGGAAACATGCGACTGAACAACAAAAAGCTAGATACGATGACAAACACAGTTTCCTATAAAGTGGGACGGCTCCGGGGACAGGAAAAGTGGGTAGACATCTCTTTTCTTCGCATGATAATGGTTGTTTGTGTTGCACTCGAAACGTCGTATTCTATTATTATTTGGTTTAATTTTCTACGTGACTACCGAAAATAACCAAAGATTAATTCCTGCAGTCACGAAAGCTTCAAATCTAGTTTACTACTTCATTCTCAAAATAGTTATTGATATAGGTTCACAAATACTAATTACCACAATACTGTAGCTAAAACACCAGAATTTGACAATCGGCGATTAAAAGTACGAGCAGCAACGAAAGCAACAGCGCGTGCTTGTCGCACGTGCAGACGAAACCACGTGATTCGAAGCGTCATTGTAATTGTGTTACAATTACAGCTCTGACCGGAGCGCATTAGAAAGTTAAAGTAAATTTAGCGCAGAGTTTTAGCCTTGTAGGTATATTGATACAGTACATGTAAGCTGGGCTTACGAAAAATGTTTTTGTTGTTATAACTAACCTCAGGGATATTTTTAATATATATTTTTTATCAATTTCTGCTGAAACGCTGCACAAAAATTGTATAGACAGTCATTTTGGTGTCACCAGGTGCGGTCCGCATAATTTAAATAACAGTGATGCTAGCTAGGGTTGCGGGTATAAACCCGAAATGATTCTCCACGATCCGCCACCGCGTTAAAGGTATATATATAAAAAACATCCACAACATCGTGGACCTTCCTATCATTAATTTGCGCGAACGTCAACTTTTTGAATGCCGTCAAACTTTTTGAACACCGTCAAACTTTTTGAATGACTGAATGCCGATTTAAAGCTTTCGTGACTGCAGGGATTCATATTCTTGGTTCTTTCGGTAAAGTCACCACGTAGAAGGGAAACAATAAAATAATAAAAAAATATAAAACAATAAAATTCTCACGACGTTTCGACCGCAACACAAGAAGCAATCATCATCAGGTGTGAAAACCACAGCAAGAAAATTAGAAAATAAAAAAAACGCCACTCTTTTTCAAATGTTCTTGCTGTGGTTTTCACACCTGATGATGATTGCTTGTGTTGCGGTCGAAACGTCGTGATAATTTTATTGTTTTATATTTTTATTATTTTATTGTTTCCCTTCTACGTGGTGACTTTACCGAAAGAACCAAGAATGACTGAATGCCGTCAACTGACTGACTGGGGCGTGGTCACGTGACGCCCGGGGGGGGGGGTGAGGGGGGGGTGGCCGCCGCGTTGGACTTTGAAGCTTTCTCCTTCACCGCCCCTCGGAGAGGCAAAGACATCTACAATCAACGTTTGTTGGTCGATGTCTTTCATTTATCGCACTCGCTACGTCTCCACACACACACTCCCCCTCCTCTCTCTCTCCCAAGTCGTCGTCGGTGTTGTTGTTGAAAGTTGCGGCTACAGCGGCGGCAGCGGCGGCCTCTCCCCTTCTCTGAAGGAACAACAACAACCCCGGGCCCGGTGAGTTCGGTCGTCTTGACCGCGGCAAGCGCCTCTCCTCCTCCTCCCTCCCCTCCCCACGTCGTCGTCGTCGTCTGCCGAATCGACAAATCGTCGCGAAGTCCCCCGAAACGGCGCCCACGGAAATGTAACGCGGCGCGTGCCCCAGCGACGTTTTTAATGCACGGAGTGGAACGTTAAGGCGGTACGTATTGTAACGTGACCCTGTCCACACGGTAACGTATTGTAACGTAACCCTGTCCACACGGTAACGTATTGTAACGTAACCCTGTCCACACGGTAACGTATTGTAACGTGACCCTGTCCACACGGTAACGTATTGTAACGCAACCCTGTCCACACGGTAACGTATTGTAACGTAACCCTGTCCACACGGTACGTATTGTAACGTGACCCTGTCCACACGGTACGTATTGTAACGTGACCCTGTCCACACGGTAACGTATTGTAACGTAACCCTGTCCACATGGTAACGTATTGTAACGTAACCCTGTCCACACGGTACATATTGTAACGTAACCCTGTCCACACGGTACATATTGTGCAGGGAATGTAACGTAACTCTGTCCACATGGTACGTATTGTAACGTAACCCTGTCCACACGGTACATATTGTAACGTAACCCTGGCTACACGGTACATATTGCACGGAATGTAACGTAACCCTGTCCACACAGTACATATTGCACGGAATGTAACGTAACCCTGTCCACACGGTAACGTATTGCACGGAATGTAACGTGACCCTGGCTACACTATACTGCACTGAATGTAATGTAACAAGGTCTACGCGATACTGCAGGAAATGAGTGTAACACATTTTACACAGTACTGTATGTTCACTCGTTTGCTTACGCTTATTTCATGTTGCTAAGAGTTGTGCTTTTTGCTTTGAATGGTTTTGTTTAATCCAGTTAATGTTAACACAGACTTCAGGGCCGTCCATAAATGACGTCACGCGATTTTGGAGGATTTTTTACCCCCCCCCCCCTCGTCACACGGCGTCACAAAAAGTCAGACCCCCCCCCTCAAATATAAAAAATAAAACACGCTTCAAATCGCTTTAAACTATTGTCATTGTAGTGCGTATTTTATGTGGCGCTGCACTCTGATGTTGTAGGAGAAAATATTTAATTAGAACGTACTCTTTGTTTTTTTTCGGTAAAGTCACGTAGGTAAAATTAAATAAATGAAAACAACTAAATTAAATCACGACGTTTCGGAGGCAACACAAGCTTCCGTCTTCAGGTGGAACAGTCACAGGTATTTATTTTGCTGTGACCGTTCCACCTGAAGACGGAAGATGGTGTTGCCTCCGAAACGTCGTGATTTAATTTAGTTGTTTTCATTTATTTTGTTTTACCTAGGTGACTTTACCGAAAAAACCAAAGAGTATGAATCCTTGCAGTCACGAAAGCTTCAAATCTAGAATTAAGTAGAACGTGTTTATATTTATTTAAAGTTGCGCATTTTGATGTGACGTCACATTTCTCAAACACCCCCCCCCCACTCGTCACACATCGTCACAAATGTCTGACCTCCCCCGCCCCCCAAGTGCGTGACGTCATTTATGGACGGCCCCTTAGACGTGTCCTGATTAAGTACTGTACCTAGCTGAGAGTTACTGTACATGCAGAATGTCACAGTCACATACTTAACACAGATACACACTTGACACATACCTGAAACAAATACACGTTTGACACACACCTAACACAGACGACAAATATATCACATTTACATTCCAGATGCATACCTGATAACACACCTGGCAGCGACACACCAGATACATTTACATGCCTGACAGGAGACACACTTTGTACACATATAAACCTCCATCATGGGACCTCCTTTGCCAGTACCAAAATATGATAATAGGTTTTCCCCTTTTTTCTGGCAACAAAACAGCTGTGTCAAGATGTTAAAACACCAAACTGGAACCTTTTACAAGGAATCATGTCTGCATCGTAACCACAAATACTTGTGGTCAGAATGCAAACAAAAATCGTACTCTGATAATATATGCATTTGCCTTTGAAACTGATTGGTCCACACCAGAGACAGCTTACTTTTGAGCCTCGTCCTCTGGTGTTAGACCTCTGGTGTTTGTTTTGTGCCTCGTTTTCTGGTCTAACACCAGAGGACGAGGCTCAAAAGAAAGCTGTCTCTGGTGTGGAGCAATCAATTTCAAAGACAATGCATATATTATCAAAGTACGATTTTCGTTTGCATTCTGACCACAAGTATTGTGGTTAATGCAGACATGATGCCTTGTAAAAGGTTTCAGTTTGGTGTTTTAACATCTTAACACAGCTGTTTTGTTGCCAGAAAAAAGGAGAAAACCTATTCTCACATAAACCTGTTAAACACATACCTAACACGGATACAAACTTTACACATGTATGTACACATGGTTTGGGCACACAACTAAAACAGTTGCATACGTGCCACTCTTAACAACCTTAAAGTTGACAGCCTGGCATAAGCACTTCAGCGATGTTCACCACCACCTAGTGGTGATTTGGTGGCTATTGCTGTTGCTGGGGATAAGCAAATGTTGTGAAATTCTTCGGGCTATGATTGCAATGATTCGCACTGGTCTCCTGAACATACACACCAGACCAGTTTCAGCCCTTCTCTCATGCGTTGGTATGTCTCCCAAGCAGCTTGCAAAGGATGGAATCGGTGCCACCCGTCAGCCGCGTGGCCATCTTTGGCGGCACACATGGAGACGAGATGTCCGGGGTGTGCTTGGTGCGCCACTGGCTGTCAGACGCTGGCGAGGTAGCTGCGGAGATATCGCGTCCGTCATTCAGCAGCACGCCTGTCATGGGCAACCCCCGTGCAGTGCAGCACTGCACGCGCTACATTGACACCGACCTCAACCGTTGTTTCACGCATGAACAGCTCGCGTAAGTGAGAGTGCCCGTCATCCTATCGTGTGCCTTGTTTTAGCCTGGTTATGTCTTTCCCGGGGGAATCCTTGTAAGTGTCAGAACACCTAGATACAAAGGATCTGCAATTGCAGCAGGAAGTATGTTTCCCACTTCATGTTTGGAATCCAGACATTTTTTTTTATCTATGAAGTATTGACTAGAATAAAGTGGTGGGCTTGCAGAAATTCCTCAATTAAAATGTATTGTTATGCTCATACATGCATGGAATTGTTTGTAAAAAAAACCTGATGATGTATGTCTTATGAAAATTGACACAAGGTGAGTTCATATTTTCTGTGTGGAAAAGTCAGTGGGATTGGGCAAGACGGTTCACCAGCAGGGGTTGATGGCCAATGGTCGAGAGTGGTAATGGTGGAGTGCCAGTCACCACCATGGAGATGGAAAAATAAGATCAGCTCATAGGATTGTGGTATCACTGGGCTATGAGGATGGAACCTGGCTTATGTCTAATAATGAAACCGCCTCAATTATTGGCTAATGATCACTTGATAAAATGTATTATCAAAGTGAATATCAACTTTTAATCTGGTCAAATTAATTTCAGCTAGTTGAAACTATTAACATGACGCCTTTTTTGTATTTTGTGTTTTGATTCACAAAGGATGGAAGTGAAGGAGGACACCCCATATGAGACTCTACGTGCACAAGAAATAAATCGCCTGTTTGGGCCCAAGGGCTCGGATAAAGCCTTTGACTTTATAATAGACATGCACAACACCACGTCGAACATGGGCAACTGCCTGATTGTGTCTAACTCCGCCGACATCGTGGTCTTGCACATGGCTCGATACATGCAGGTGATGCATCAAATATGAGCTGTGTTGTTTGATCCAAAAGATCATGCAAGATTCAATATTTGTATATATGAGAAATCTACCATTTACAATAAACAAATGTAATATACCTCCTTGGTCATGGAAAAATGTCAATCAACTTTTAATTATTCTTGTCCACCGTAACTTTTAAACAATCAAGAAACCAGTTGTAAAGTAACTTGCCTATGCGTTCTCACTTATGATAAGGTCCTGCCGATAAGTCAAGGCATTTTTCGAATCGTGATAATTTGAAAGAGGCTCTGATCACATGCAAACTCAACATTAAAAATTGTGGCTTGTGAAAAGCGTAATTAATTTTAGGTTCCCACACCACTTTGCACTGCAATTGAGATGCAGACGGACAGTGGTTGGTCCAACTCTGGCCAGTTACCTAAGGATATTGGTGAAATATCTTTGGTTCTAATTTAAATGATATCCTAAAGATTAACAATCACAGTATGGCTTAATCGTCGCTGGAAGATCACCAATTTTCTTCAAGGCACTGATCCGAAATGTGTTTAATTTCTACCTTTATATTTACCTCTGACCTCCCACAGGACATCTGTAAGAGTGCAATCAGCCCAGTGTTCTTGAATGAGATGGCAGGTGTGGAGAGGTGTTATGCATCTAGTGTATCCAAACATGGCATAGGTAAGGATGTCTATTTAAAGACTACACAAGGCTTGTTTAGGCTACCCAACTGGTTTCACGTAAACAGGTTTTGTGTGCACAGTTTTAATGTTAAATTTACTGCATTTGACAAATACATTTGGAATTATACACTCAAAGATGTTAGGTTAGACCTCGTTGGTGAAACTGGTTGTGGACGTATAAACAAGCTTAAGTATTTGAGTTATCAAGTGCTGTACTGAGATTTGTGGCTTAAATCATTTGTTTGATTTTTTCTAAATCCCACCTGCCATTGCCCAATATCTGTTTAAAAAAAAAATACTGGTTTATCGTATTACTGTTGACTGGCTTATATTTTGATTATTTTTCACCTATCCACAATAAGTTGCCTTTTTTCAACTCTTTTATGTCTGCCTTTTTCATGTAATCGATTTGCTGGTAAGCACGCTCACTACTTTGTGGCTTTTTTACAACACCAATCTTCTGTTATTTATTGTAAACTACAGTCTACAGGCTTATGATCACAAATCCAACCGACACACCAGTACGTAAAGGAACATGCAACCCGAAACACAATTACTGTTGTAGTTACGCATCTGTGCTGTGTGTCCCAGGATATCTTGAGACAACTTTGAAGCTTTGTTCAATGAGATTTAAATTAAACTTTGCACACACCTGCAATAGTGGTATGCCTAATGTAAGCTGCAAACACATGTTGGGCAACCAATGACATATGCATAGGTATATGTTTACTATATTAAACCTATAGAATGTTAGGTTGCTTATTTAACTCACAACATATAGTTGGTTAAGCAATTGAAGGCAGTGTTGCCAGACGTATCAATTGTAAGGCTCATTTACAAGTAAAGATGTTCGGATGTCCATCTTTGAGAGGGTGCTGACCGTACATTGCGAGGCACTGCATTCCGTTGCTTTTTAATGCTTTTTATTTTACTTTTTTGTTTCTCCATTTGATCTTCAGAGCAAGTGCCAACCCATGCCATGCCCTGTGCTTCTCACAGAGCACCCTGTGCTGCAGTATGCCACAGGGAGATCTGTAGCCAAGCATAGCCTTGGTAAGCAAACCTGACGATCTTCTTCCACAATGGGCCTTTTTTATTTTTAGGTCACGTACAATGCACCAAAGTCTGCTTTCTAAAGGATGGTACTATGGGCACAATTGAGAAACTATTGAGTGTCATTTTTTATTTACTTATTCACCCAAAATCATGACGTGCATGGTAGTGAAGAAGTTGAAGTCTGCTCACATTTGAAAAAAAAAATGCCAATCCACCTCTGAAACTTCGTCTTAATCGTTTCTTGCACTGAAGCGCTGCTATCAGGGGTTCGATGTTTTCTGGAGCACGCTGACCATGGCTTAAAATGTGATTGAGATGGACAGCTCGTTTGAATTTGCAAATTTTAAAAACAAGACGCAAATGCAATGAAAAACAAAACATTTTGAAATAGGACATGCGCATATTGCAAAGTAAATGCATATATTTGTAGTGTGTACGAAAAAACAGATGCTAATTTTAACTATTAGTGTACACTATTAAGTATGTGTAATGTATTGTAACTTGCAACGATCATCTCAAGGCTCTTCGTCACCTACGTCCACCCATTACCATCGATATTGCCAACACCCTCGCCTGGAGTATAGTCGGGTCTCGCATCGACTACTGTAATGCCATTCTCTCCAAGTCATCATCCAGCAGCATCCTCAAATTGCAACGATTAGAGAACAACCTTGCTCCTGTCGTCCTTGGTGTTCATCATCTATGGCTCGACTCAGCCACCGCTGTCCATACTCTTCATTGGCTCCCTTTCGCCAGCAGGACAAATGACAAAATCGCCTGCCTTTGTCATCGTGCCTTCACCACCAGTTCCCCACCATACCTCGCCTCGCTACTCTCACCTTGCACTGAAGCTCAGTTTTAGAACCCTAGGCAGCGTCACTCAATCAGCTTCGAACACCAAGGTCTCGAACTGTTACAGGCTCACGTCGGTTCTCTGCTATCACCCCCTCGGTGTGGAACTCTATCCCTTTGCAAATATGCAACATTAAATGCACTCTGACTTTCAAGAAACATCTAAAGGCCTGTCTGTTTGGTCAGGCTTTGGAGCAGCCCTGAGTTTGGCTTCACGCCTCTGAGCTGTTGACTTGTGTGCAAAATCTGGACCGTTACAAATGTTATTATTATTACACTCTTATTGTACATTGTTCGGCAGATTTTACCAAATGTTACGAGTTGTGCTGAGTGTTTGGCTTGGTTTTCCATAGCTACCAGTTCATATCTAAGGAGATGTGAAGTATTAAAGCCCCAAAGCGGTATAAGAGAAATCAAAAAGTTACAGTAGCCCAACATTGGGTGTGCAGGGGACATGCGCAGCAATCTCATTTATCCCCCAAGCCTTTAAAAACCGGTAATGCAACATGTGAAAAATGGCAACTCTAATCCACCATTAATTATTGAGGAACTATTACACAACCCTCTACAGGGTGTTCCAAATAATGTTGAAGCTCCTGAATAAGCCGAACTAAATTTCAGAAAGGGATGATGCTCAGTGTGACATGTACCTAACAGATGACGTTTTACTGTGTCATGGAATGATCACGTGTAGCCAGGCAAACCTGAACCATGAGGCAGCGCCTAACGAAAGATGGCGCAAGCTCGCTTGACCTGAGAACAACGCTTACAGCCTTGCCTCGACACGTGTGAGGAGAGAATTAGAGTTTTTTTAATATATACCATCACGACTTCCAAACACAATTTTCCATTAATTATCTTCTGTTTTATACTTTTATGATGCTTGTTTTTAGGACTAGAGCTTGGGCCTCAACCACAAGGTGTTGCACGGGCAGACGTTCTCATCCGCATGAGGAAGCTGGTCACAACGGCCCTTGACTTCCTGCATCTTTTCAACACAGGTTGGAAAATTCAGCATTTTTTTTCTTCTTCCCACACACGGGACACAAATAAAATAACTTAATCCATTTTATGTAGGAAAGCTCTCATGGACTCACGTAGAGTGTCAATAACATCATGCACTCGTATATCAGTTGTGATGACGTGACGCACGGCAGACAAAGCGTATACGTACTGCTCGTATTGCAAGACCTCGCTCGTTTATCAAATGAATATTTATTTGAAACTTTTGCTCGTCTTGCAAAAACACTCGCAGACCAAGTTGCTCGCAATCCAAGGTTTTACTGTATGTACATTACGTACTAACAGCCTACATTGCTTCAACGTTGTGAGGTGGCTTCTTGTTGGCAATGCGTGACACGTAGGACATGAGTTTCCGGCTGGCAGCTTGGAGGTGTGCCGTGTCACTGAGCGCATTGATTACCCTCGGGACTCGCATGGGAATTTGACCGCTGTCATCCACCCTGATCTACAGGTCTCCACTGCCTGCACCCTGCATTGTCCATCATCAAAAAGGGTTTTTGCACTGTTCGTTAATTCGCCTCTAACTTAAAAAAATAATTGCAAACATTTTACACCTTTATATCTATGCTTTTTTTTACCCTTGCAACCTGTATTTTTGTACGTCTATTTGCAGTAGTTCCATCTTTATTTGGCCATCAATCCCATATCTCTTTTTTTAAATGTCTCAAAATAGAAATCCAGGAGTGTCTTATCAACACTTTATCGATTAGTATCTTAATTCATAACCGAGTTATGTTTTTACATGTTGGTATTTATTAAATACAAATTTTAATAAAAAATTATCATTTGCCTCAGCACTGCCATTATCTTTAACCTCAATACACATACTACCACCCCAATTAGAGACGAGTGGAGATGTAATTGCATTGGTGCATTTTCTCCTTCATCACCCTCGCAGGATCGTGACTGGGAGCCACTGCATCCAGGAAAGCCTGTATTCCTCACTCTGGATGGAGCAACCGTTCCGTACAAGGGCCCTAGCGTCACTATCCCTGCCTTTATCAATGAGGCAGCCTACTATGAGAAAGGCCTGGCCTTCTGGGCAACCCAGCGTGAAATGCTACACTTCCCAGCTCTTCGCGTGGATGGGCAAGCCAGCCAGGCTCACATTTAATTGTTGTACCTTAAGTTTCTCTGCACTGCTAACAATCAAATTGCATAACACGTACTTATAGATCTATTTTAAAAAGTAAAAATAATTTTGTACTAGCATTCGAATATGTCGACAATATAAATTGCCTAAGGTGTATCAATAACTTAGAAAATCTTGCACCGTATTTACAAAATGTTTTCTACTGTGAAGTTGAAGATGAAAGCTCTGGTACTTGGCCTAGATTAGGCATTACATGCTGATGTTGCCTTTATTTTTCGAAATGTGTAAATGCCCCACAATACCAATTGGAAAATAAGGATTCTTGAGCTTTTTGGGGCTTGAAATGGAACGGTTTCTTGGATTTATGCAGTAAAAATTATTTACCAAATATGAATGAAAGCTAATCGGTGGACTTGGACTGACCAAGATGATAGTACTAACCAAGTGCCTCACATCTTTGGTTTTAGCTTCAGGTAATAACTAGTCGGGGTAAAAAAATATATATATTTGCACTGCATTGGATGTGCTTAGGGATTGTTCATTATATATGTATGTTGAACTTCTTATGTAGCCAACTGTGCTAATCAGAGGTCCGGGGAAGGACAACAAACTAAACAAAAATCAGTGCTAAAGAAATGAGTTTTCAATAAAGACTTAAAATTGCTTACTCCAGCGGCTTAATAATAGGAAGAGCGTTCCAGACGGCTGCAGAAGCGCATCTGAAAGTGCTCGATGCAGTAGTGGTCTTTGCTTGATGGCTCGCCAAAATCAGCTGCGAGGTTGATCGGAGTTCGTGTGCTTTATGCTCCTTGGTGAGACCAGCAAGGTATTGTGGTTCATTTGTGGCAAGCACTTTGTGTGTATGAGTGAGACCTTATAAATGTATTCGTTTGGCAACCGGAAGGCAATACAACTCGGCGAGCACTGGACAGACATGGTCGGAGCTTGCAGTACCCGTCAGAGAATTTTGTACATGCAGTGAGTAGCAATATTTGAGTCTTGTCGATACTATGGTAAACACCACCGTATTACCTATGTCATGACTCAATAGAGGTTGAATTTGTCGTAGAGCCCTGATATGAAAATTGCAGGACTTGACGACATTCTGCACGCCGTGAGCAAAGGACATATTCTGTTCGAGTATGGTGCCCGAGGCTCTTTAGATGAGTATAAAACTGTATCCTGAAGTCCATAACCGCCACACCTGATCCACAAATTTTTTTTGGCCCAAGTCCCAACCAGCAGAACCTCCGATTTTTCTGGATTAAGCAGCATTTTGTCTCATGCAAACTACAGGTGTACTGCTCACATGCAATCTACGAGGTTACCGAGGCTCTCCAAATCTAACTTTAACTGCACTACGGTGTACAATTGTGTATCATCAGCATATTGACGGAATTTGATGTTACGTGACGTATGTTGAAAAAAGGAAGGACCCGAGGATGGACCCCTGTGGTTCGCAGACTAAGCACGGCATAGGCGATGACTGTTCGTCGCCCAGCTTGAACTGCGATCGACCTTTTAGGTATGACTCATTCCATCCCAGTGCCGTACCCGATACACCGAAACTTGACCTTAGCCACCGGAAGAGTATCTCGTGGTCAATGGTGTCGAAGGTAGCTGAGAGATCGAAGCCAATCAATGCTGATCTTGTAGAGGTCATCGGTGATCTTTAGTAGAGTTGTCTCAGTGCTGTGGAACTTCCAGTACACCGACTGCAATAGTTTGAATCTGCCTGTTGCAGCGACATGGGGAAGTAACCACTTCGGACACAGGCACTCTATGACCTGTTGAAATCGTACTCAGGTTTGAGATTGGGCAATAGTTTGCAGGATTACTGGCACAAGCCAGCTTTTTTCAGGAGTGGTTTTACCTGCGCCATTTTGAACCGGTCTGGGAAACAGCCCTTACTGAACGAAAGATTTGCCAAGTGGACAATCGGCGGTACAAGCACTTCCAAGCATGATTTGAGAAGCGACGTGTGGATGTTGCCGAGCGACGATGTCTTATTTGGCAGCCGTGCGATAAACATCGATGACCTCTACCACCGAAGTTGGAGCCAGGGTCTCGAGTCTTGTGTTGCCTTCAAGTTATAAATTGCCGTCTTTGATCACTTTTATTGGCGAAGAACATTGCAAGTACTGTGCAGAGACATGGTTGCCTCGTTAATGGGTGATTGGAGTGCAGCAGACCCTTGACCTTGACGCTCCAGAGCACGGGAGTCAGAAGCCAACTCATTGATGCAAGATAATTAGTCGGTTGGCAGATCTGCAGGCCGCCCTGTAAGCGGTTTGGGTAGTCTTGAAACTAGTTTTCGCCCAAAGACGCTTCAGCCTCCACGTCTGCTTAGCTAGTTTTACTGCACGCTTTCCCCATTCTCTTTGTGCTTGTTCGAATGGGCACGAGTTCATCAAGAAGAGTAGTTCTGCAAATGAATTGACCGTCGATGCAGCATGTAGACACGTCGATAATGACCGGATCTTGTGACGGAATGCATTGTGTTCTAGTCGTTTCTAGTCTCTATGATATCATTGTGAATGGCGGGTGAATAATCGCTAATGCCACTTTGCACGTCACAAGACTGGTCTGCGATACGCACATCTTCTATAACAGCATCAGTCACAGTTATGGCATCGGCAGATGTGATTTAGTATATTTCCTGTGCGCTGCTGACGTCTTGGGTTAAACTGTGACTGTCAATAATCTCGGCGAACGCACTATTGATTTTTTTTACCACAAGAATTGACCACATCTACAGCAAAACCCTTTGCGAGATATGTCAACAATTGACGAATTTTGGTCAGGTATGGGTCGGCATTTCCACAGCAGATCATAGCACAGTGGGTGCGGAACTCGAGTAGTTTCAACCGGAAAGTCCACCGATCAGCACTCCCTTCTGCACGTTGGATGCTGGGCCAAGTCTACTGATGAGTCCCACCACAATATTGGTGACGTTTGGATGAGATAGAGTTGATATGTCGATCCAGGCCAAGGGAAGTTCCAGGTATGACCCCTCATTCGCCAGGGAAGAGTGGAGGCATTGCTTGACCACACCACGAGGGCAGGGCCCGGCCACAAACAGCTGGGCAGCAGATGCTGCAACATCTGCTATCGCAAGGTGTTGTTGCCGCTGTCGCTATTGTCCTTTCTGCTAGTGTTGCAGTTGCTGCTGCAGTTCTTGATGCTATTCTCGTTGCTGCTCTTGTTGCTTCTGTTATAATAAAAATGCAATTGATAACGCGCGCAAATCTGCGGACGTAACGGCCGCAAATCCGCGGCGCCGAGCCAAGCTCAGTCGCTCGCAAGCGTGGTTGTAGATGTGAGCTTTTAAGTGTCTCTTGAAGGAGACGATTAAGGTGATGCTTCGAAATGTGCAGAGCACTTGCCTTCCAGACTGGGGCAGCCACCGAGAAGCGGCGCATAGACGTCACCATCCTGGATCTTGGTATCAAGAGGAGGTCTTGAGTCGCACTGCAAAGGCATCTGCCGTGTGCTGCACTGCAAGTCGTCAATAATGAAGAGAGGTACGGGGGGGCAGGCAGATGTGAAGGCGCGGTGGCAGAGGCAGGCGATCCTGTATGTGACCCTGCTGGCAATAGGTAGCCAGTGGAGGGCACGGAGAGAGAGGCAAGTGAGTTGCGACGGAGATGTGTGTCTTGGAAGTTTTTTTTTTTAGAATGGTGTCGTCCACATGAGGTGGTGCTTGACACCGAAGCTTGCGATGAGGTGGCCAAATGGGGAAGTGTAGGCCGTGAACAGCAATGGACCGACTACGGAGCCCTGGGGGTCGCCGCACGACGCTTTTGTATCAGCAGACGTGGACGAGCCCACCCTGGCTGAGGATTGCCGATCAGAAAGGTACGACAGTGTTCACTTGAGTGCTGAGCCACATACACTGAAGTCGGATTTCAGGAGGGAAGTAAGGAGCGAGTGGTTGACGGTGTCCAAGGCTGATGAAATGTCCAGACTTACAATAGCAAGGATGGAGCCTGAGTCAATAATCATTCAAATGTCATCGAGCACTCTTTTGAGTGCTGTTTCTGCGGAGTAGTTTTGACGGTAAGCTGACTGGAAGGAGCAGTAGTTTGAGACGTGCTAGAAATGTGGCAAGATAGGGAAATTAGTTCCAGAAGAGAAAGTGGCATGCAAAGTGTTTGTAGATATTCGGCAAAAGGGATTCCGCCGGGGTAGGACGTGTGCAGGATGGAAGGAGGGCCGGATACCGAGACATGCATTGGAGTGGTCTCCACAATCCTAGCGACCAAGAGGAAGACCTAACAGCAGACGGGTACTGTTTGGGCAGATCTTGGAGGTCGGTTGTCTACTGTGCAGCGGCTACGAGATCTGACGAGGTGTGGTGCCATCGGTGGCTTCGGGCATGGTAAAACATTGATCATGTTTTACATTGACATGTTTGAATATCCTTATGAAAGTGCTGAAGGCTGTGCAACAGTTGTTCACTTTGTAATACTGGAACCATAAATCATGTATACCCTATGCACAATGCAAAATCAAATGCCTTAAGACAATGTTTATACAATTTTCTAAACTGCAGGATGTTTAATAGGGATGTTTCACTTTATATTACAGTTAAACATGTTGTTTGCATGTTACTATGTTTGAGAAATATTTGAGATTTTAGAATATACAGTATACTGTAATGATCTACCGTACATGCTTGTAAGAATTCACTCCATCCCCCTCTCCCACCTCTATTCTGCAATCTCACGATTATGATTCGGTGTAATGATTTTTTTTATTTTGCAAATGGGAATAAATGCAATGATTTTAGTCAACATTGAACTGTAGTGTCACGGTTTGCACAACAACATTGAATTTTAATACCCTCATCACTGTGAAGTAGAAAAGTCTTTTCCACAATGTAATTCCTTCACAAGCCGTGCGAGCGAGGCGTAACTAAAATATGCGGTGCTCAGGCGGGCAAAGTCCCACAATATGGGACTGGCCTGGCACCTGTGAAGTGCTGTGTTAAAGTTGTGTGCTTCTACGTAAGGCAGAAATGCTCCCGTGTTTAGTTAGCAATAATCTCAGATCAGTCAACATTCACTTCACAAATAAAACATGCTGAAAATCCGAATTTTCATTTATTTCTGCCAGTTGCTTGTGTTTGCATGTACTGTACTGTACTTATAAAGTCCCCCAGTCAAATAAGATAATCTAAGTTTGTATAAAACTTCGAACAATAACATTTACTCATGCACTCTATTCTTTGAGTTCAATATTTTGCCAAGATAGAAATTTGTTAAGCGAAATGTGTTCGTACAAAATCACATTTTCTACAAAAATTCGGAGTATATTGTTCATAGACTTTATTTCCAAAGGATTGGGAGAGGCATTACGGTAAACCTGCACGAAATGGAATATCAAATGATCGTTTCAGATAAGCAGGTTCACCGGTTCAAGCACCCATTGCTGCTTGCCACTAAAATTGGCCTGTGTGCCCTAATTAAAAACTTGCTCTGGTCAAGGAAAAAAGGACGTCTGCAAAATCTATACACTAACCTTTTAGGTACATGTTTTAATCTGTGGTATATTTGTACCAATGTGAATATAACCCTGAATTAAAAACTCTGGCAACGTTTATGAAAATGGGAAACTTCTCAACTCCACATCGTGTTTTTATTGCAATATTTTACCTGGATAATTCCTTGGGATGGAACATCGCATTTGCAAGGGTGTACAGGGGTTGGTAAAGGAGAGACATAACTGGTTCTAATGTCAGTATAACACGTAAATACAGAAACGAATATCTCGTACTAAAGATGTATTACCGAAGCTATCAACAGAAGGTGTGTACCGGATTCATTGTACTTGTCGAAAATACTATGTTGGGCAGACAGGACGAATGATCAGCACGAGACTAAAAGAACACCTAATAAATATTAAATTCTCCAAAATACAAATGTCGACAGTGGCAGAACATGCGTGCCAACAAGGACACTCAATTGGATTTGATAATTTAAAAGTTCTGTGCAAAACTAGTTACTACTGGCCAAGACTAATTCGAGAATCTATCGAAATTGAGAGAAATAAAAAATAATGTAACCGTTCAAATAGCTACAAGCTTAGTGCTGCTTGGAAGCGAATCATCAGATGATCCTTAGGGCGGTACCCCGGGGTACCAAATGATACAAATTGAGCGAGGCATCTGAGACACTTTTTTCCAGGGGTGTTACTTAACTCCGCGACTGGGGTACCAATCAATCCGAAATCATTGCCACACTCCGCGATGTCGAAACGCAGTGAGGACGATTGCGCCGAAACCCCCGAATGCTCGTACGCACCGTAGCGGTGCATCGTGTACAGCTCGTCTAGATGAGTCGATTGCCGCATCGCCGACCATCAACGGACTAAAAATTACTCCATCACGGACATTATGCGAGAGCCGGGGTACCGCAATGAGGTTCAAATAATACATTTAAATGCATGCCTATACAGGTCACCATACATAACGTGTACGCAGACAATAACAGGTAGTTCTATTTTATTGCATGCAAACGACAGGATGTACAAAAGCAGTGTGCATACATAATGTACCCTTCCCGGCATTGTCATTTATATTCATTCATTAATCACCCCCCCCCCCTTCGCACAAGAAGGGCTCACAAGTGACGTCATCACATCTACCACTATTTAAGGAACGAAACAGGAGGATTTCTCCACAAATCTGGCTGTCGCCTGATGAAGCTAGTTGTCATTACTGGCGAAACGTCGTACTCTGTAAATGTTGTGGATTTGCTCTCCAACACGTCGGTGTGCTGTACTAGTAACGAACTGGCACGTTCTGTTTACGTGACAACCCTAATTGGCTGTCGGGTGGTGGTGGGTTTAATGACACATATTTACACGTTCTAACCCAAAAAAAAACCATTTAATGTGGCTGTTTGGAATGCTACATGTCACTGTAGTTAGCTTTAGTCAATAATTTAACTCGGGTTGCTGGATACCTCGTGCAGTGTGCTAACCACTATGTCACTGTTCATTTGCTGTAATTGGCTGTTTGAAATTTCAGTTCTCTTTTACAAAAGGTGCAGATTTTTCAGATTTGCAGTTTTCTGCTTTTGATATGCAAGTGGGATAAAGTGCATTTCTCATTCCAATTCTTAGACGTAAATCTGAACAATGTTTGAGTATTGCCAATAAGTAGAGTTTACTGGGCTAATTGGAACCAATTATCAACTGAAGTCATCTTGTACCACAGAACGAAACCTTTATGGTGGTCAAAAAAGCTCGAAATAACAAATATATTTAACCTGCATACTAATAATATAATTTGACACGGATTGGTAAATCATTGTATTTGGAGAAGATTGGTAGACATTGTTCTGCTGACTTAGATTATTACTAATATTGCATGACTGATAGATGGAGGCAAGGATATATAAAATATCAACATTTAAATCTTGACAAACCTGGTTAGAAAACTAAATAGATAAGGTGGTTGATGCAACCAATATTTTCCGGTTATTATTTTGACTAAAAAAAACCACACAACCTGAACAAAACGTGATGTTCCCTGTGCCTTATACAAAGATGCCGTTAACTGTGGTCACAAGGGTTTATTTTCACCCCCATTCAAGTGGAGACAACCGGCTTTTGGTACGGCTCCAACCTGGTGACGTGGGACCAGATCAGTTGGACTGGCTTGAATCAGATCCAGCTGAAACCCGTATTGCGAGGAACGACCCTGGGCTCCAGCTCGGTTCAATAAAGAAAACTATTTCAACAGTGTAAACATTCCTTAAAGTAAAGTAAGAGTGCTGAAAAATCCCATGATGATGACTCAACTTATGGTTTATTGTAAGAGGTGATAAAAACACGTAAACTTTACAGCACCCAATTGCAAGGCAGAAGCATGGAATTAACTTCCACCTCTTATACGTTTTACCACTGTCAGATTGACTAACTTGACACCAGGGACAGGGCCTTACTTTTCACAGCTGTTACCGCTGGTCGCTTTACTGTGTATATGCAATCTTTGATTTAAAGCTTTCGTGACTGCAGGGATTCATATTCTTGGTTCTTTCGGTAAAGTCACGTAGAAGGGAAACAATAAAATAATAATATATTATTTTTATTATTTTTTAAATATTTAATATAAATAATAAAAGTATATTATTTTATTGTTTCCCTTCTACGTGACTTTACCGAAAGAACCAAGAATATATATGCAATCTTGTTGAATACGATCAGTGCAATTATAGTGTTTTATGTTTCAACACTTGCGTATGACAATACGCTCAGCAGGTAAGTGCCAATGTCGAGGCCTGCTAGCCACGAGATGGCTGCAGGAGACTGTCCTTTAACCCCCAATTCCTACACTGCCCCCCACCTTAAACTTTTGGATAGCCATATGCCGTGTCCCCTCAAACACCTTCCAGGGACCCTTTGGCTCCGCAACATGGCCCCTCCCCCCATGTCCACGTGTTCCCCAGCTACAAAGGTCAACGTACTTGGAGGACATTTCGTACAATCATGAAAGCTTTCAAACTGCTGCACGATACCTGCACAATACCTACGATAACGATCGTGGTAACGCAGATGCTGGAGGCCAGAATGCCAGAGTTGCTTCTTCAGTATGCAAGGGACACTTGAAATCTCAACAAGTTGAATACATTATCTGATCTAAAACCACAAATTTGAACAATGCCAAACTGTTCTCGCTGGAAAGTCATCAGCTATTGCTCAGCCCGCTTCAAAGAGTTAGGGTGTGTTTGTTAATTAAGTTATGCTGGGTCTGAGTTGAATATTTAATATAAAAACGTGCGGTTTGCCGTGGTGTGTTTCATTATTCCTCTCAGCGGTGAGCAATTTCAGGCCTCAGGACATGGGCGGGTTGAGGGAAGAGCCAATGAGGTCATTGGTAAAGGGATTTTGTTGAGAAGAAATCTTCACTTCTTGTCATAATTGCACATTTTCTGTCACCATCACAACAATACCATGTTCGTGTTATGATGTTACGTTACATCCTGGGTAGAGTGCTGTACATATATAAGTATAGATATAATTTGTCAAAATTGCATTAACAAATTGTCACCGTCGAAAGGCACGTGTTTTTGATGATATGAACACACCCGTATGTAAATTAAGTCTTCTTGTTGTGTTGATATTTAATACATTTCAAGAGTAGGAAGTTCCTGTGTTACATTGTGTTGTGTAGGGCATTAGCACGCTCAAGTGCATATGCACTGCAAGGGTATGCCAACAGACTTTCAATTTTAGACACATCGAGAGATGTGATGGTGAAAACCTGAAGAAACTTTTAAAAGGCACAGCGGTAGACTGCAGCGATTAAGATGGACAAATAGTATAATATTAACCGAGAGTACAATATACAAATGTATAATACCAATGTTGTGTAGCGTCATTATCGACGTCACACATTCAGCGATGGGTAAGAACGGCATCGATCGGCTCTAATGTGCTTAAGCTAACTCGGGTTTTCACTCGGCACGCAATGCGTTTCAATTTGATTCTCGGTGAGCATCGAGTCGCCAATAAAGAAGACGTACAGTCGCGTTGAAAGGTGCACAGGAAATGTATTTCAGCAGTGCACATTTTTTGTTTTTTTGTAGGGATCGCCGCATCTAATTCGTCTGCTCCAGCAATTCTGAACTCCCTTCCCGTGTTCCGCCTCCATCCCAGGCAGCCAGACTTGTTTGTTTCCATGTCTATGAAGTCTCCGCCTAATCTGCGACCTTTGACACGCTTGTTTTAAAACAACATGGCATTTGAATGCAATACTGTCTGTCCTCCTAAGATCCGTTTGTCTGATACAGAAAACAAGAGGCGGTTGTCATGTGCATACTATTCTCACAATCCCATTACTCGGGACCACCAAAAGTAATCAGTTACACCTCTCCCCAACCTATTCCGAAGTCTGGGTGGCTACGGGCGGCAGCCACGAACAACAGAGTTGTGTTGTAAAGGAGCCCAGCCAGCCAGAAAACTGGAGGCATAGATTTAGAAAAAAATATATATACCGTAGTTAAGTAAGGGGCCGTCCATAAATGACGTCACGCGATTTGGGACGATTTTGACCCCCCCCCCCCTTCGTCACACGGCGTCACAAAAAGTCAGACCCCCTCAAATATGACGTCACAAAGCTCTGCCCCCCCCCCCCCCCACAAAATAAAACATGCTTCAAATCGCTTTAAACTATTGCCATTGTAGTGCGTATTTAATGTGCCGCTGCACTCTTATGTTGTAGGAGAAAACATTTATTAAACAGTCTATTTGATTACATTTTCTTGCTGTGGTTTTCACACCTGATGATGATTGCTTGTGTTGCAGTCGAAACGTCGTGAGAATTTTTAATTGTTTTATATTTTTATTATTTTATTGTTTCCCTTCTACGTGGTGACTTTTACCGAGAGAACCAAGAATATGAATCCCTGCAGTCACGAACGCTTTAAATCAAAATTTAGAACGTGTTGTCTGTATTTACTTAAAGTTGCGCATTTTGATGTGACGTCACATTTCTCAAACCCCCCCCCCCCATCGTCACACATCGTGACAAATGTCTGACCCCCCCCCCCCCCAGGTGCGTGACGTCACGTTGCTTTTCACACCTGATGACGACCGTTTGTGTTATGG